GAATCCTCTTGCCTGCAGTGCAGTTAGTAATAGATTTGCATAAACTATTAGCCAGAATTCATTATCAGAGCCGTAGCATAGCCCTCTGGGAGAAACATGAAAGACATTGAACGATGCCTTCGGCTGTTGATCAGATCATCATGTGGAGAGGAAGAGGAAGATTTTAACGCGACCTAAAGTGACCCCAGATCTGTCATTTGCTAGAGGATTATGGCATCAACGGCCAACTGTTAACAGCATTGTGTGAGAAGGAGTTGTTTATTGCAAGTATCAATCATAGATATATTAAACTTTGGAGTATTTTATCCTAATTTAATAATTATGATGATTATGTGATTATAGGTGTTTAATTTTAATTACTCTGACTTTGGAAACATCAAAAAACTTTAAAAGATTGAATTTCAGGTGATTAAACAGTTTGGTCGTAGTGCCTTGTGGTGCAGACACCACCATGTATCAAATCTTGCATAGTATTTGTTGTTGTTCCTCGTCGGACTCCTTGAAACCAAAGTGTTTCCAAACATCCGAATTGGTTTTACCTTTCTTGTTGACCAAAGGCTCTCTTTCAGTCATCCTGACTCGAGCTGACCTAAACTTGTCACAGCCTGGCTGAGAGTGAGTTTGGGCTTTTAGGAAGGGGTGAAAACGCTCTGCTGTAAAGGAACGTGATGCACTGAATTTATAACACAAGACAAAACGAGGGCTTTGTTTCAAATCGGAATGTAGCACAATCATCATTTTATCTTGATTATCGTGTTCATCATAATCGATGGAAGTCTAATTCATAATTGAAAGTAAAATCTGATTAATCGCTCAGCCCTAATTTGTACTAGAATAATGGAATCAAACTGAATTGTGGTAAAATGTCATGATGCATAAAATTGTTTCCTAAAGACTCATAATCAATTCACTGTTACATTCACGCTGCTTCACCTGTTTGAGATGAGAAAATTGAGCAATATTAACATGCACTATAGCCACAATATTAACATGTAAGCTCACAGTTTGATCAAAAAATTTGTACAGAACAACTTAAGCTTGCAGTTTTCCAAGACTCCCTGTGTTTATCTATGTCTTACAAACACACAATATCATAAACAAACACATAAGTCTGGCTAAAGAGCTTAAAACATCCTATTTGGAAGTCAGAAAATTCCCAGGTCTCACTTGGTCCTGAACACAGCATAATGCTACATATCACACAGTGTATGCAAATGATATCAGCTGTCGTTTTTCCAAGTGGAAAAATCAGGATTCCCGATGATACTTGAGTAGTGACGAATAGTGAGACCTTCACCTTTTTGTGCCTGGTGAAAAAACCTAAATTTTGCAGTGAATGTGGAAAAAAATATATGTGATGTGCTTCTTTGTGATCCATGAGCTTATTCATAAAGCAAAGAAATAACAGCTTACATATTCTTCAGACCTCTTTGCTCCCTTTTTATCATGTGGTGCTCTTTCAAGAAGCACCCAAACAAGTTAACTATCAAGTATGTCCAACCGTTCTATGTGCGCACAAACGCAGCCTGAAATGCTGGAAGAAAAATATGACCATGGAAACACCAGGTTACATTAGGATTACTACTAATGTTCTCATTTGCTACCTTGCTCTCAAATTACATCAGCATGACCTACCAAAATTAATAATACAAAGCTGACACAAAGCTAGAAATATGTCATGCTTTTACTGTATGCTTATAATAAAATACAGTTAAAAGTTCTATAGCTGTCATTACATTTGGCATAAAGCTTCTGAGGTGAAGTGACAATGTAAGTTGATAGCCGCTCATCCTCATAAACCGTCGTCGCAAATTGGTCTGAAGCAAATGCCAAGTATGTGTTTTACAACACAAAGACATGCTTGTCTCTCTCACTGGGACACATACGGCTTTCTTCACTGTGTATTTTGGAAAATGTGACCAGCAAACATTTCCCTCTGTATTTCTCCCTGAAAGAGAGTGGCCTGCTGAATGCATGTTTCCCTGAAGCATGGTAGAAATTAGGTTTGTTGCAGATTAAAAGAAAATGTAGCTTACTGTGAACTGGACACAGTTGCTTTGGCTTCATTACTGCTGCTTCAAATGCTGCACTATCTGCAGTAGTTTATAACTTGTGGACCCAGCGCTGATGACCTTTGACCACGTAGTAACATAATGGGCTCTAGTTTAAAGGCAAGTAAAAGAGTTAACTGAGACTTAAACAGTCAGTTTGTTTGTTTGTTTTTTTTTGGTAGACGAAAAATGCTGAAAAAAAATATTTTTTCAAATTATGAAATTATATTCCAGTGGTCACAAATAACCATGTATCGGGAACATATACGCATGTTTATTGCATGTTTATGTTATACAATTACTAGGCGTCAGCATTATCAACACAAAAACCTGAGCTGTTGATTAAAGAAAGGGCTTTTTATTCATTGTATTGTTTAGACATGACAGTGTGACTTGGCATAATTCATGAACATCCTCAGTGGCCACACATAGTGATTTTAGAGATTTCAGTTGCAGTTTGTTCTGGTAAAAGAATTTTTTCTTGGTAAGTTTATGTAAAAACCAGTGTAGCCTGAAATTTGGATCCAGTCAAAGGTCAGTGGAGTCAAGGGGAGCATTGACTTCATATTTGACTTCATGCTCAGGAGTATGTCTATGTACTATACATATGTTTTGTCCCCTTTATCCTGAAAATAAATAAATCAAGGGTGGCCTCCGACATTTGCGCTGTACTGTATATCAAAATAGTTGGTGGAACTCGTCTGCAAAGTTAGTTATTAGTCATTTTATCCTGTAATCGCTGTCTCTGTAGCCACACGATAGTGCTTGAATACCCGTCTGTCTGGAATGTCAATTTCAGAGACTCTAAAACTACAGAGCGCTGGAACCGACATGTTTTGTTGCTAAGCCCTTTGATGCTGCCCTGAGGCCTCCTGTCTGCTGCATTGTGGGTAACGTAGTCTTCTCCAGTGAGAGCACTTTTTGTTTTTGGCCACAAAGAGAACTTGTGTAGCCAACTCTGAAGTGTTTTGGATGAATGTTATCACCGTAGCAGCCAATCCAAAAAGAAGAAAAGGGCCTTTCAGTCAGACAAATGCGCTGAAACCAGAGCTACGGCCTCTGCCCGGTTTGTGTCTGGGGTCGTCTCTGTCCTACTGCCGTTCTTTTCAGAGCAGAGCTAAAAGGAAGGCTCTGTTGTTTCTCCTCTGAAAAGCCTGAGAGAATGGGATGAGTGATGTGTGGCATACTGTAGCTGCAGCTTACAAGCTGGGCAGCCATGTTATGAGCACACAGTGGGTGCTTTTGGTGGTGTAAACAAAACGTCTGCGACTTGTTTCATGGTCTGCAGTCTGTTCCTCTGTAGTCTGTAGTCATGAAGATAAGACTGAATTGTACAGAAGTATTGTTGTAGAGCTCCAACCTACTCATTTCCTGTCTGTTCTTGCTTGTTGGTGCTGAATGGAATACGAACATAAGTGGAGCACTGCTGTGTGTTTGAAGAAGACACGTTCATTCTTACTCAAGGTTGACCTCTTGAAGGTCAGCTCCCAAATTGTTTCCATAGCACTTGTTTCATCATGTGAAAATAACGTGTTTAAAACATACCCTGTACCCTGTATGGACACCTGACCATCACACCTGTATGTGCCTGTGGGACACCTCATTCCAAAACCATGGGCATTACAGAATTGCCCCCACTTTGTGACTGTAACAGCCTCCACTCTTCTGAAGGCTTTCCACAGGATTTTGGAGTGTGTTTGTGGGAAATTGCACCCTTTCAGTCAATAGAGTATTTGTGAGGTCAGGTTCTGATGATGGACAAGAAGGCCTGGCTCACAGTCGACGTTCCAGGTAATCCTAAAGGTGCTTAGTGGGGTTGAGGTCAGGCCACTGGAGATCCTCCACACCAAACTCATCAATCCGTGTCTTTATGGACCTCGTTTTGTGAACAGGGGTGCAGTCATGCTGGAACAGGAAAGACTAAAAAAAAAGGAAGACTAAAAAAAAGGAAGCACTAATTATCATGGTGCTATCTGCATACCTAAATCATCACACACTTGCCTTTGTCGAGCTGCTCTGTCATCCCAACAGACCGGAAGTATGTTGCATAGATGAAAAACAGAAGTAGCTTCCATGGTAGTCTCCATTTTGTCTGTACTTTTTTTTGTCTGTAAGTATTTTAGTAATAAAATATAGTGTAATGTTTTAAAAATTCATTTTATAAAAGTCAGTTTGAAACATATCTTCTTTACTAGTATGCTGTCTTTTTGGCCCTCAGGCCCACCACAGACATTGCAATTTGGACGCCCCAGGCAAAACTTTGGGCACCTCTGAATCCTCTGAATTGTTATTCTTCAAATAACTTCCTCAGAATTGTCTTTTCCTTTTCTTAACTCTTAAGAATAATCCTAAGAGTAAGTGGTATTCTTTAAAACATTATGTTCTTAAATGGTTTCTTAATCTTACGACAGCCTCACACTCGTTTCAGGCTCTAAGAGTTGACAAGGTGAGCATCTAAATTTATCACACACGCTGCCTCTGGTGCTCCTGCCCATCCTCGTCCGTCACCCCACCATTGTCGTATTTCCCAACGAGGATTTTTTTGTCCTGTTGGCTGTTTGTTCCACCATCACCTCTAGTTCTTGTTTACTAAAATTTAAACCAAATTAACGGATAATACAAATACAAATGTATCTTGCATCATTTACTGTACAGTGTAAAAAGCAGCACAGTCAACAATGAAGATTTTCCTAAGAAAATCTTAAGTAAATAATTATTTACTTAAGAGAATATTTAAGAACTTCTTAAGTTTTTTTTTTTTTTTTTGAGAATTTCATTTAAGAACTTTCTTACGAACGTCTTAGTCTTTGTCTTCAGAACCTTCGGAAGTTTTTTCTTGAGAAAGCTTTCATGAATCCGGCCCCTGATCTTTATCCTTGATTGATTTAGTTTCTAGATATCTTACATTGACTGTTTTCTATTTCTTCTTTCTACCTCTTTTGCATCCAGGCTGTTGGTTGGTGCTCCCAAAGCAAGTAAATTGTCCAGACAGCAGTCTCAGGAAACAGGAGGATTGTACAGCTGTGATGTCAACTCACCCAGCACTGCCTGCCAGCGAGTCGACTTCGACAATGAAGGTAATGTCACTGAAAGCTACACATTACAGTTACCTGTGTTTTTGTCAAGTCGTCTGCCTTGTAGTTTGAGCTCCACCTTTGAAATATATGAAATGTTCTAAAATTCATTAGAATCAGTGGTTATTTTTGCACTGGCGTATACAGCGTATGCAGGAGAATCACTAGGAGCTGAACTAATGAAGAATCAGTCACGCTACATCACTGCTGCAGATTCACTGATAAAATATTACAGAATATTTTCTTGAAAGTTTAATTTTTCCAGAGTTAGTGTTGCTTCCATACTTCTGTACTTTGGGATGTGTATTTTGTGTATTTGACATTTCTGCTGTTCGTGTATGTAGAGAACCTGTCGGAGGAGAACAAGGCGAAACAGTGGATGGGAGTGACTGTGCGCAGTCAAGGACCTGGAGGAAAGATTGTGGTCAGTGTTTTAAATGTATTTTATTCGTGTGACTTTTGGGAATAATTAGAGTGCTTGAAATAAACAGTGTACTTTCTTTTTCTCCCTTCTTTCTTTCTTTGTTTCTTACTTAATTTCTCTAAATAACTTTTATTCTTTTGTTTTCTTTCTATATGCTCATTCTTTTTCTTCATTTGTCGTCTATTGTTCCTTCTTTTTTCTTTCAGTCCTCCTTCCTTTTTTCAGTTTCTTCCTTTATTTTGTCTTTCTTTCTTTCTTTCTTTCTATTTGTTCATCTTTCTTTTCTTCCTGTCTTCTGTTCTTCCTTCTTTTTTCTATTTTTGTACGTTGATTCCTCCTTTCCTCCTTGTTTCCTTGCTTGCTTCATTCCTTCCTTCCTTCCTTTTCTTTTCTTTCTTTCTTTCTTTCTTTCTTTCTTTCGTCTTTCTTTGTTTTTTCTTTCTTTCTTTCTTTCTTCATTTATTTCTTTTTTCTCTCCTTTTATTGCTTCTTTCTCTCTTCCTTCATTCATTTTTCTTTCTTCCTTTGTTTCTACTTGTGCATTCTTTCTTTTCTTCCTTATTCTTCCATTCTTCCTTACTTTTCTTCCCTTCCTCCTTCCATTCTTTTTTCATTCCTTCATTGTATTCTCTCTTTCTTTTGTCCTTCATCCTTTCCTTCCTCTTCTATTCTTTTTCTTTCTCTCTCTCTCTCTTTCTTTATTTTCATTCTTTCCATGCTTCCTTCTTCCTTTCTTTCTTTCGTGCTCTTTTACTACATCTGAATTCTGTGGCTCATTGCTCAGAAATATCGTTTTATGAAATGTTCCTTGCTAGCACTGTAAATGCAAGTCTAGTTTTGTTGATTTGATTCATGCAGTGTGTGTTAGTTTTGTAGCCCTACATCAATCTGTTTGTAAACACTGGTTGGGATGTGCCATCTGCAGACGTGCGCTCACCGTTACCAGCGACGCCACTTCGTCAACTCCGCTCAGGAGTCCCGTGACATCACGGGCCGCTGCTACGTGCTGAGTCAGGACCTGAAAATTGACAAAAGCACTTTAGATGAAGGCGGAGACTGGAAGTTCTGCCAGGGCCGACTTCGAGGCCACGAGCGTTTCGGCTCATGCCAGCAGGGCATGTCCGTCACCTTCACCAAAGACTACCATTACCTGGTATTTGGAGCACCTGGAGCCTTTAACTGGAAGGGTAAGAGGAGAGGTGTGGGTGAGCTGGTGCCAAAGATTTGATGCGGTAAAGTGTTTTAGCATAAGTCAGTGCTTAAATATAAACTCATGACCACTCGAGTAAATACGCTACATCGTATCTCATTGTTCCACTTACCATACAGGTGAACTTTGTAGCTCTAGCAGGTAGTATTTGCACTGATGTGGTGGCGTTGAGGAGAAATCTGGGACCAAACTTTGTTCTGCAAGCTAGCTCACAAGAGAGAAACAAATTTTTTGAATAAACAAAATGTATGTATTTATGTCTAATTATTCTAATAATATATAATGATAATATATGACATTTTTACAAGCACAAACACACTTACTGCAAAGATAAATGATTTTAAATAATATTCATAGGTGCCTATACCTGGTAAAATAGACAGTCAGTGTGGATACGAGGTCAGTGTACATAATAAATGAAATAATAAAGTGGCTGGTGAGTGTATAGTTTGTATAATTTGTGGAGTAAGTTGCATTAGTCACTTCTACAGTCACCATTCCAGCACTTAAATGTACCACATCACAGTTTCATTACCACATGGAACAGCCATTAAACGGACAGTGAAAACCCAAATCTACACACTTTTTCACGTCCACCTCAAAATGTGTTGAAACTTCCTTAGTTTTACTTTGAAGCTACAAGGCTAAAGTAGCTAACCATACAGGAAGTCTAAAAAATCAGCCCATATCACCCAAATTCTATGTCAGTTACACTGGTTACCTGTCCTGCTTTACCAGTTTAAACTCCTCCTGCTAACATACAAATCTCCCTAGCACAAGCCTGTTTAATCGAGCTCCTGCACGCTGAATACTTAGGTCTTCTCTCTATCCTAAAATTTAGACTGGTCACCGCTGGGGGCAGATCTTTCAGCGTCATGGTCCCGCGCAGACCTCTACTTCAGGCTTCTACTGCTGTACTAGCAATTTGATATTGTTTTTGTAGTAAGTCACAGCATGTCGTACAATATCAGACACCACAAAAGCAAGTTTATTTAAGATTACTCAACAATTCGAGGCAAGTATGTGGTGATTTAGACCAAAGCCAATCTGATAGACATAAGCTTCTGTTACTTCTTAGCTACATTAGCCTTGTAGCTCCCGCGTAAAACTAGAGAAGTATACTGCAGACACCACGCATGTTTTAACTGATGGACTACATTTGGGGGCGGGGGAACTGTGTAAATTAGATTTTTCACCAAACTATCATGGTAAAACTGTTTATGCGGTTTTTTTTTGTTTGTTTGTTTTTTATTTACGTGTGATTTTCATTTTGTCATATCTGATGTTTTGCATCTTTTTTGTTTATTTTACCCTTTCTCCACCCTTTCACCTTCGCCCTCACTCCATCCATCCGTCCATCCATCCGTCCATCCGTCCTTTTTCGGCTGACTGCCATGATCCCTTTGCGGGGGCGTGGCCTCAGGCGTAGTACGGGTGGAGCAGAGGAACAGTACACTGCTGGAGATGGATATCTTTGACGATGGGCCGTTTGAGGTCGTGTACAAAACTGCTGAAGAACTGGACGAAGTTACCGTCCCAGCCAACAGCTATTTAGGTGGGTCCATCACATCGCTTTCATTTTCATCAACCCAGCCTCCAAACAACCAAACAAATCCCAGTATTCTCATTGATTTATTGGAATTCATGGAAAAGCTGACAGTAATGAACAGGGTTTCAGAGCGGTTCAGTGTGTGTGTTATGATTTTATTTGGTTATTTGTTTTTTTTTTCAGTTAAAGCAGACCTTTGATTTGGGTTTGAGGTGCTGTTAATATTTATGTACATGTGATTCTAGGTGTACTGTTTATGACTAGTGTGTCTAGCAGCGACCTCGATCTGTTCCTCTATGAGTCTCATCCTCCTCAGGTTGATGCCGCCTTGGAGGAAGATGTGACGGCCAATAGCTACTTAGGTTTGTGGGACGTTCTGGATGATGACATCTTTCATTCCAGCCATATCCCACAAAATCATACAGACCCTTCCCCATGTGCCACAGTTGTTGGCACCCCACGAAATTATGAGATATATAAATATGAGATGACACACAGGCCAAATTCCCTTAGCCATGCATCACTATAAGAAAGGCCCATTTCTACTATCAGGGCAATAATTTCAGGCCCGTTTTGCTCATTTTTACCAGGAGTGCCAATATTTGTGGGCTATTGTACAATATATACATTGCATCATTTGAGTTGTACTGTTTGAACGTTTGAGTTCGTGTGTGATTACTTTATTTGTTGTTCTGGACAAACATTTCATTTAGTGCATGCTGGAAAAAGGTTTGTGAGAAAAAGTTTGTAAACCCTCAGCCTTCCCTCGCACCCTATGTTTATTGTGTAAATTTTGCATGAATCATCTAATCCCTTCCATCCCATATTTATCTGTTTTATTAGTAGATAAAAGAGAGTGTTTAAATACAGTCATATGCTGTAGAAAAAAAAAAAACATAGCTTCTACAGGGAATGTATCTAAACATGGCTTGTTTCTGTCAATTTTAGTGCCACAACTTTTGCACAGGTCACATTTTATGTTTTATTTTTGTCCGATATGGTAAATTCAGTAAATAAACAGTAAATGTGTAATAAAAGGTGCGGAAGTATGTTCTCTGTAGAGGATTTGTTAACTTACTTTCACTTGGAAAATAAACAAAACGTGTGATTTGACCAAGAGTGCCCAAACATTTGCATACGACTGTAACAGTATTATTAACTTTTACATTGTATTTCTATTGAGTGCCAGATATAGTCCAGTTGCTGCTGCTACTATAATGCTAATTTGATAATTCTAACACTCCATAACATTTATGTTAGTGTTAAACCAGCAGCTCTACCTTAAATATGATGAAAATTGTAACGTGCTGTCAAGTAACCTATGCTTTACTTTATATCTTCCAGTTTATGACAATGACTTCCTGCTAACAGCTTAATGGTTTCCATTATGGAAATGCTAATTACTAGCTTTCAGTCATAGTGTGTTTGATGAAACTAGCTTTCTGATGTTCGTTTATGCACTACTTGATACAATTTCTGACTGACTTCTGACTGATTCTCTTCAGGATTCTCTCTTGATTCTGGAAAGATGCTAACTAAGAAGGGGCAGCTAACCGTGGTTGCTGGAGCCCCTAGAGCCAATCACAGTGGAGCTGTAGTCTTGCTGAAGACGGAGACTGAATCTCTCCACCTCACCACTGAATATATCCTGGAAGGAGAAGGTCTAGCTTCCTCCTTTGGCTACGACCTTGCAGTGCTTGATATAAACGGAGATGGGTAAGGCCAGTTTTAAAAGACTGTGTGGATGTGTATCGTTTTATAACCAGGGCTTAAATTTTGGCCTTGGGTACCAAACCTAGCACAAAGACCATTAAACAAACTCAGGCTGTACTAGATAGCTTCATTTATATCAGGACAACCACATTCAGCATCTCCTAAAATGATTACAAACATTTAACTAACAGCATTAGTTTAGTTTAGATATCACCAGGAAATCTTGAACACTTAACAATGGCCTGTTTTTATTATTTTTTCTAAATTTTCCATAGCCTACTGTGAAAATTAAGTTTTGCTGGTTTATATTTTTTCTGTTCCAACTTGTTTGCAAACTTCAGGAAACTTCAGAAATATTGTAGTAAATACCATGTATCGTGAAAATGTCTTTAAAAGTATTATGATGGTAAATTTTGGCCCATCCTTAAGTTTGAGTTAGAAAGCCGCTAACTTTATAAGTGAACTACCTTACCAAGTGTATTCTTACAAGCTAATCTTAAAATGGATTAAAAAAATACAGTTGAGTGGTTTGCTTACCTTCCAATCTGAAGAGGCTGTGGCTGTGCCAGATGTTGGCTGTTGTGATCTAACATTTGACTCATATAAAGAACTACACCTGTATCTACGGTACTTCTGCCTTACAGAAATACTACACATCACGAAATGTAGCTAGAGTTCTGTTTTTGCTATTTTTTATTTAATTCAGAGGAATGTTTGAGGGAAAATATAATGTACAATTTTCCACATTTGGTGTCCAAATTTTGCTTCTTTTTTTTACCGCCAGGCTAATGCTGTTAACTCTAGAAGTCAACAATCACCCAAATCTTTTCTGTAAATTCATCCCCAGAACTTCTCTCAGTTAGTGCAAACCACATCCAGGTCTTCATCAAGGTCACAAGGCCGACTTGTTGATGTGGTTTAGGACACTGTATACCTCACTGTGAGCTATGAAATTGAACAGTTACTTTTGTTTCTAATTATAAATGTATATCTTCAGTTTGAAAGTTCAACATTCACAGTTATTTATAATAAGAAAAAACTGAAAAACTGAGACTACATCAAGAGTAAGTGATACATTGCATACATTTATTTAATTTTTTGTCAAATCATGCAAGCAAGCATCAAAGAAAGCGGCCGTTCTGTTCATACTTGGCAAATTTTTAGTAGTCATCATGGTCAGATAGGTGAGCACTGGCCATATGGTCACAATGAAATGTCTGGTCTGGTTATTATTATTGTGACATATTGGGAAGTGTTAATTGCTTTGCTGTGCAAAGCGAAAATGAAGAAGTGAAAGCAAATGATCATGTCATGATCTGATTTATAAGCCACTCACTCTCTCTCTCACTCTTCCACAGGTGGCAGGACCTTGTAGTTGGAGCTCCTCAATACTTTGAGAAAAACGGCGACATTGGCGGAGCTGTCTATGTCTATATCAATCAGAACGGAGACTGGAACAAGGCCAGTCGAACCCGAATAAATGGAGCCAAAGATTCCATGTTTGGACTGGCTGTAGAAAACCTTGGAGATATCAACCTGGATGGCTTTAACGGTTCGGAAGTTTGACATTTCATTAGGAGTCGATTTAGCATGATTTAGGCCTAGCTTTCTGTTTAAAAGTTAAGTCTAGTTCTAAGACTTAAAGGGGCATCCCAGCCAGAATTAAAAAATGTAACCTTTACAACATCGTACGTAAACATGCCTACTCATCTCCTACAGCAGTGCGACGATAGTCCTGAAGGTGGGAGGGAGTTAATGAATTCTGTGAAATCAGTGGGGTTAAGGGGGGCAGTGCTGCACTACAGAATATTACATAACACAACAAATAACATATTAAATGCTAGTTTTGGGCCAGAATACCCCTTTAAAGAAAACATGGAATAATCTAAAAACTATTTTGTAGTGTTGTGCTGTTGCTGTTGCTGTTGTTATGCTGATCCATATATAAAACCTTACATATAAACATATAAAACACACAAACATATAAAACCTTGTATCTCTGCTATGGTAACTTCACAGGAGAAGGAAAAATCGTTCTTTAATGTACGTTAATGGGCTGTGATTCAAAGTCATTTTGGACCATTTCTGTTGAGTTACAGAAGTTTTGCAGTGAATGGTATGATGGTGATCGTAATGACCGGAGCTGAAATGACTATGATGGTAACAGAGATGACACAGTGGTGCATGTTTCTCTATTGCAGATGTTGCTATCGGGGCGCCGCATGATGATAGTGGAGCCGGAAGCGTGTACATCTACCACGGCTCAGCCAGCGGCCTCAAAGACAAACCCGTTCAGGTCCCAACTCTTCTCCCACCTCATCAGTCCAGCACTTATCGCTGTCATTTGCAAAGTGTTGTCTGACAGTTGTATAAACAGACATCACGGTTTCCATTGACCTTATGCATATTCTGCATGTGGTAAAATGCAAATATGTTAAAAAACGTCCATCAAATTGTGTTGCAGGGATGAAAAGCCTTTCTGTACTGACACCATTTTCTGCAAAAAAGCTGAAGTTTTTCTTTATCAGATTTTATGCATACATAGTTTTTCTGAACATTTCAGATAACAGCAGTATATGTAGTAAATAGAAATGGATGAAAGTTTTGTTAATATTTGTAAAGTACAGGGATGGCAGATGATATCGGAATCAAATCAGCAATAGCAGATATTTGCTTCAGAATATTGTCGGAATTGGACAGATGTTTAGATTTGACCAATAATATTACAAGTTGATATTTGATGATCTGTTTACTTACTGTACTATAGAGGAGCAGGATGTTTAGATGATACTGGGTTACTATGCTAAAATGTCTGTATTTAATTAATTTTGCTGTAGCACACAAAAGATTATAGTTTTCCATAATTCTTATCCAGCCAAAGTATTCTGCCTTTTATAAATGTTTGTGTGTCTGCATCGGCATCAGGAGATATGAAAAACACCCGATAGCAGCCCAGATTTCCCTTAATGGTGCATTCTTAGTAAAATATTACTGATAACTGCTGTTTCCTTCGCCCACTTTGGCAAACTTAAAAGCGTTACAACATATTTGGATAAAGTCCCTTGGAAATGTAATTAAAATGACTTGTAGTTAAAGTGCATGATGTGATGAAATTGTTGATGACGTACTAAAATTTACTTGTACAATACTATGCAAATGAAATTATTATTATCAAAGCAATATTTCTAATATTTACTTGGTACTAGCGTAAAACTGCATTCTCTGCCTCATTGTGCTGTCTCTTATCTTTGATGTTTTGTGTATTTGTGTTAGGTGCTGAAAGGAAAAGATGTGAACATTAAGCTGTTCGGATACTCCTTAGCTGGAAACATGGACTTAGATGGTAATCAGTATCCAGATCTGGCTATTGGGTCTCTGTCTGACACTGTAGCCGTGTTCAGGTGAGATCACACTGACAACTGAACACATCTGAAAAGATGATTCACTCCAAATTTTAAGATACTTGAACCTCCAGCAGTTAAATAGGTGAACTACAGCACTACACAACATCAGAGGAACTTTTTGTTTTACTTTTTTGGTTCACCTCCCGGTCCTGCGCGTCAACATGAAGCGTGCCCCTAGAATTGACTGTGCTTAATGTCAAAGTATTGATTTATTCCACTGGATAAATTATGATTACATACATTTACATTTCACTTATCCAGAGATGCTTTTGTCTAATCATCAGTTTAAAAAGCCTACAAACTAATCAGCCTCTAATTAAAATTTTCCGTTCCACCTTAAATGCAACAGCTGTTACCTTCTGGCACCTGAGTACAAGAAGCTGGAGAATAAGAAGCTAAACTGCAGCTTCGTCAAGATTCAATTACTTGATTCATTGTGTAAAATTGGCCAATTCAAACAGTTCAGCCCAATATACTCATCCCAGTTACATACCTGTCCAGGAATCCCCTTTATCCCCTTCGCATGTAATATTTCCATCTTTGCAAAGCGCCTCCAATTTTGATGGTTTTAGCACTTTTGCTGATTGCAGCACTAAAATAATTGTTTAGGAACACACTGGAACGGTTGAATAGTTAATGTTGATTCATTGGATTCCTTTCTTTGCTTCTTTTGGAGGAATAATTTGCAGGCCGAAGTAATAAATCCCAATAAAGTACAATATATCATTTTACAGTATTAACTTAACAAATCTCTAAATATCTCACATACTCGAGTAATGTTGTGATAATATTGTGTGGTGGGGTCTGTATTATTTCCCACCCCTGGTTGTCATGGATCTAGATACAATCATTCCTTTTCTAGAGAACCCTTAAAGGTGCACTATACGATTCAGGAGAACGATTGTTGATATTTGAACTCAACAGTAAAACAAACACGCCCCTCCCTTCAATGCTTCTTCAGAAGCTCCGCCTCCTAAATTCATGGACGGGCATTGCAGAGGTCGAACAGTGCTTTTTTAGATTTTTATGGCCATAAAACCATAAAACAGACAAATACCGTGATATAACATTAAAGTGAACAGCAACACAGCAAGTAATGTAACTAATGTTAGCTCAGTTGTGGGTTTGCAAACTGCTGCAGTGAAGTAAACCAGTTGCTGTCACAAACATTAGCAAACGGGACAAAACAATACTGACCTCTTGATTCTGTGAAAGAGCAAAAGTAAGGTAATTCTACCTGTCAAGCAGGAGCGACCTCCTCATCCCTTTCTATGCATTTCAACTCTCAATGAAGCTGAAGTCAGCTGCTTTGTCGCCAGCTTCTTGTTCATATTTTCCTGTGCGTGGTCACTGTCTGTGGAGGGCAAAACAAAACATGCGGAGGGCTGTTTTCACAGGGCGGGACTACATGCACACGCGGCCAGACGGGCTGTGAAAACACAGAAGGGGTGTAACTTAATTCTCTACTCAGGACACCATTACTACACAACGCCTTTACAACGAAAATAGTTGTTTGCTGCCATATCAATGTTTAAAATGTTTAACCTTTAATGAACCCTATCTTTAGCGTCATTTTAACCCTGTTCTCCTAACTTTTTCACACATTACAGGGCCAGGCCAGTTATCAACATAGAAAAGTCTGTAACCACAACACCAAAGGAGTTAGACCTTACTAAGAAGAACTGCGGTGACAGCATATGGTGAGTAAGGCCTATTTAGCACTGTGCTGTGTTGTTCTTACGTGTTTGTACTTATTTCTAAATGACGGTAATGTGTTTTTCTAGTCTTCAGATAAAGGCCTGTTTCAAATTTACATCCAACTCCAAAGATTACAGTCCCATCGTCAGTGAGTACATCAGCTGCTTTTGTTCCGATGCGCCTGCACTCAAGAACTGAAAATGAAGTTGTTTGACTGAAAATAACTGCTTTTGCAATGTAATGTTGTGGTAACAAAGTCTAAAGAATTTGATTTAATGGAAGTGGCATAATTAATGTTAAGTTCATAGTTTTTCTGAAAGTGTGAGAGTGGCACCTGATTGGCTAAGATGGTTGTCTGTTGCATCGGTGCATCTGTGTGAACATAAGTGTCTTTTAGAAACTTTGTTTTGTTTGTTGCTTCTTCAACTTACTGCTTTCTGTCACTCAGGAATGAAATACTCCATCCAGGTTGAGTCTAAAAGGAAGTCTCTGGGTCTTCCCTCTCGAGTCATTTTCAGCCCGCCCTCCCCCACAGATTCAGATTATGAAAGCACAGGAGTGCTGGAGCTCCGAAAGCCCAACGAGCAACAGTGCACTACAAAAACCCTCAAACTGCAGGTACGGCTCCCTCCAGCACTGACCACTGATCAGTTTAACCCCACAGTTAAACTGCTAGGTGTCTAAAAATAGTTGTCTTGCTGTTTTCTTGTCCCACCCCCTCATTTTTTGTAAATTGTGTAAACTGATTAAATTAAAACATGTTAAAAATATCACATGACATTTCCCATCATTTAAACTATTATTGATCAATAACAATAATAAAGAACATAACATCATGCATAAATATTATTTCTGATGGTTCGGCAGGCTGTTTAAAAATTAAGCCGTCTGTAAGTTGTCTTATTTTCATGGGGCAAGAATCGTCTTTCACGTCACGTCAGGATCATTTATCGCTAACATACATCATTGTACTCTTAGAATCTGTATGTGGCCAGCATTTCCTTCTTCTAGTGGCCTGTGACCTCACTCCACCATCTCCTGTTTTTCAGACAAAGGACATAAAATACCAAAATATAATATATTAGATTGTACACGTGTGCTTGTTTGTAGATCGAGAATCAATTTCTTTGTCCATAATGTTTTTTTGATGTATGAAAACTTTTCCTGAAAGGGAATCTGATTCAGGCCAGAAGTCTAATGTAGAGAAATCACATAGAATGCAGCTAGATGTAGCTAATATTTACTAGCTGTACAGTTAATTAATTCTCTAATTGTTGTTTTTAAATTCAATTGTACTTTCAGTTTTGACCCTGAAGTACCCTACTGCACATTTTAATATTTTCCCTGCTTTAACATACAAGACCCACCTTATTAGCTCATTATTACGTTCTTGAGCTACATTTGAGCAAGGAAAAACACCAAACTGTGCAGTGCAGTGGACGTTTAGGACTACGGATAGAAAAAGTTGTACTAAAGCCTAAGAGCTGGTACATTAACCGTGCTCTCTGTCAGCTGACTGAGAGCTGCCCCCCTTTTACCAATTCATGACGGACTGTTTGAAGTAGTGTAAGAGTTTTGCTGCCACCCGGTGGCCGTACAAAAAAGGAAAAAAATTGAAAACACCATATATTCTGTTTGTGTTTTAAAATACACTGGCAGCATGTAACAATGTACTTCGTTTTTATAAGGGCCATCTGGAATTACAGTGCAAATTCCACTAGGGTTTTATAGAATTACATTCAATAGGAAATATGAGCTTTTTCTGTTACAATGCCTAGAGTAACAATGCTTTTTTCAATCCTCTGTTAAGGATAATTTAAAGGATAAGTTGAGAGGCATCCCCATAGAGGTGTCAGTGGAGATGCAGAACCAATCAGGACGCAGGAAGAGGCAAAGCTCCCTCGGCGAACTCCTCCCCGTGCTTGGCTCCAGCCAGCCAACTGCCAGCGAGGTAACCACCCACGACCAATCAGAAAACTTTGGTTTTCTTTCATTAGCTTTCTTGTTTTGGTAGTAATGGTCCTCCAAAGACATGTCATCATTTTGTAGTTCATCAGTAGCATCTAGACAAGCTCTGGGTCTAAGGTGTGGGTGAAAAATGAACTATGTTCTCAAAAAAATTACCATTATTTGGTAAACCAACAAGTGTTTACATTTTTTTATCTCTGTATGCTACAGTATTCACTACATTACGAGGTCATTAAGGAGTCGGAATATGAATACTCCTACATGCCAGCTAACACTGCTGCGCACTGGCTGTAGTACCATTTGAGTGGCTGGTGTTTACAGTCATATGCAAATGTTTGTGCATCCCTGTTTAAACGACATATTTTTGTTGATTTTCTAAGTGAAAATAAGTAAAAATAAACACATCCTCTACAGAGAACACACTTTGTGCACATTTTAATACACAGTTACTGTTTGTTGGCTAAATTTAAAGTATTGGGGAAAATATGGCCTGTGCAAAAGTTATTGCACATTTAATTGGTTTAGGTTTTTTTTTTTATCTGTAGAGGATCTGTAGAGGATGTGTGAACTTATAGAACAACTCATTGGTCCAGGGCTGTTCAAACTTTTGCATATGACTAAAATAGTGTTGAAGCTGAATAGAAGCCTTACTTTTATGCAATGTCAATTCCATGCTCAAGAGGAGCCTGCATGTAGTATTGTTTGTATTTTGACACCTTAATGAGGTTGTAATTCAGAGGATCCAGTTTCTTTCAAGGAACAAATGTTTTCAGAACAAAGTGTATCAGCTTTGGGCCCATATAGAAAAATGGCTTAGACCAGAAATGTATTATTTGAGCACGTCACTGACTACAAACCGACGCATGATGTCAGAGGTCTATATATAAGCAACAAAATGATGGCCTTAAAAAACAGTTGAATTGTTAATTAATCAAAGTTTTTTTTTTTTTTATCTACTGTTGCAGGTCAGTTTCGTGAAGGAAGGATGTGGCAGTGACAACGTGTGTGACAGTAAACTGGCACTGGAGTACAAGTTCTGCTCTCGAGAGTCTGGAGACATCTTTAAACCTCTACCAGCGTGAGTTCAGCAATTACGGCTTTATGTCTCGTCTCACCTCGCTTCATCTCATCTTACATCATCAGACATGATAGAGGCAGCAATTTAGCTAATACTCCGACTCAGACTGACTTAGCAGCAGCGCAAATATAGCAAATAAAGCTAAGACATGTTTGCGTGTTGTTAAGGAATCTCAAATAGACTTGCTTACGTGGTTTCTGACACTGCATGACATAGTGTTATCAATAAAATGGACAATAGTATGTCGCATAGTAATAAACAGTAGGACTAGCCATCTTGAAGCCTGATATTTGCCCGTATGTATGTCCATGTTTATAGAAAACTGTCGCGCTTTGTCAGAAACCATGTAAGCAAGTCTGTTGGAGATCACAGAACAGCTTGACATGGTTTGATTAAAATATAAGATGATTTAACATCATTTGTTCGCACAGTGCTAATCTAGTGACTGTCATTTTCTATTACCTGTTAGCTGCATTAGCCTCGTAGCTCCAGTGAAGAAACAAAGACGCAAACTTGTCTTGGCTGATCGGCTACATTTGTGGTAAATTGAATGTTCAGGGGTTTTATGCCACCTTATCACCGTCTCTGTTGTTCTCTTAGTCCAAACAGAGTTCCCCTCATTTCACTCACTGACCAGAAGGAAATCGCTCTGGAGGTCACAGTGAGCAATAAGAACGGAGATGATGCGTATGAGACGATTCTGACTGGATCTTTCCCTGGATCCCTCTCGTACTCTGCCTCCCGCAACAAGGACCCAGTGAGTCTAACTTAACTTCATTGTAAGGGTGGGCGATATGATGCACAAACATTGTGTCTAACAAGTTAGAACAGACAAAGTGTCCCAGCCAAACAGTAGTGCCATGTTTAATTTGTGAGTTCAGACCATGCCTTCAACATGGTGGTGGTAGTATGAGGAAGAATTGATTGAGAGACAGGGGGGGAGAACTCTGAGAACTTGGGCTGGAGTTCTGGCAGCTTCTGCCTGTGGCTAGAAGGCCAGACCCCCTCATAGCTGTAGTAGGCCTGATGCAGGACTGAGGAATGGGGAGGAGATGAGGTGGGGGTGGGGATTGCGAACACGTCGTCACGGGAACGGAAGGTGAGGATGTGAATTTTTAGAGCGTTAGATTGAAAGAAGGAGGAGTTTCAGCCATGCTCCTCCCCTCAAACTTCAGTTATAACATAACTACATTAAAAGGCTATGAAAATCTATGAGTACAGTCCAGTTTTTGCAAGAGGTAAATTATACAGTGTATGCAGGTACTATACACTGGTTGTTGTTGTTGTTGTTTACAGGCTCTCTATAATTAGTAGGGCTATCCAAGGCATGAAATATTAGCTGATGATTGTCACAAAAATAATTACTATCAATAATTTGACTGTCTTTTCTTGTTCATTGTGTGTGATTGTTGAAACTATTTCTAGCTGTTTAATCAGAGGAGAGTTAGTCAAATTCTGACAGGCCTAAGAACTGCTCTAAATCTTTTATAAATACATAGTTCTAGGCCTAAAATCTGATTGGCTGAGTGACGTTCAAAGCCGTCGTAAAATACTCAATGCATGCACTGCTATGACCGCCTCACAACAACCGAATTCTGTATTAATATGGCAAGTTTTGAAAAATTGTTGTACTGCTAATGAAATAATCACTGACTGTAATGCTGCTCGCATGGACAACCAAATGTACAGAGTAGGTGTAAACCTGGTTCTTTTTCAACTGAGGGTCTGACATTTGATTTTCTTAACTTGAACTTGATCAGCTAACTAACAAGCTAAAAGAAAGCTAACCGGCTAAACAACTCCACTATGAGTGTCACAGGCTTTGAAATAAAGTGCAAGAAAAAAAATAAAAATATGTCCGTGTTGTAGTTAGTGCCGCAGTGCCCAGTATGTAATTGGACAGATGTGGCTGAATCCCAAATGGGTACTACACAGCTAGTAGGGTGTCATTTGAGATCGAGCCCCAGCTTGGGGAAAAAGAGTGTTAGCTTGGTTCTAAATGAGACTGAAAATTGCATAGAGGAAATGGAAATTAACATTGTTGCGATAAAAATTTGGTGAGTAAATAGTTGTATATTATGATATGTTCATTATTTTATAACAATTAGTTCTTGAAAAGGCCGCTATATACAATGATAGGGCGACTGGACATTCTCATCCTCTTTCAGCAGTCCTCTGCTGTTTGGTAAAGAACTAAAGAACTACATTTCTTGGCAGAATAATTATCTTGATTATTATTAACAAAAGTTATTTACTGAATTTTTGTGATTTTGTGTATTGTACGTATCATCATATTTTATGTTGTCTGCCGTTTCTTAAAAGTAATGAGGCTCTTGAGGCCGTACATTTCAGTGATTTTATCACAAGTAAGGGGGTTTTTATTCTACTTCACATCATGCCTGAATCACAGGATGATAAAATCAGAAACGCACATCCTCTCGTGGCTTACTGTTTGAATATATTGCTGTTGTCAGAAGAAAACCTCATATCTCCAAAATGGTAACTTTACAGGAGAAGGAAAAAACCTACTTTACTTTTAATGTAAGTCAGTGGAACCAGACTTTTTTCCCCAAGTCATTTTGGGTTGTTTCTTTAGTCCATTCATCATGAAATTTACATACAATGTAAAGAGCAGCAGGCGTTTTCTAATTATGTCAAAAACTGAAAAACAACAAAAATGGAGATACAAGGTTTTCTTCCCACAACAGCGATATAGTGTTTCTATAGTTTGCAGTTATCACATTGACTATCTGTCTGCACTGTTGTCTACTGCTGTTCTAGGTTAAATGAAGCGCCATGTTTTGGAGAAACTAACATGTCATCATATTGGCCTCCCCTAGTTACTCCTATGCAGAAATACAGCCTTTTTGTCCTCTGTAAACATTTGATTGAATGTCTTTCTTTGTGTACAGAACAAACCGGTCATCTGTTTGGCCAATCAGAATGGTTCTAAAGCTGAGTGTGAGCTGGGGAATCCGTTCAAAAGAGACTCAGAGGTAAGTCAAGAGGACTGAAAGAAAGTTTTTGCAGTGGTCAGTGTGCAGATCTGTCCTGACACTCTGTTCCTAACACTACAGGTAACGTTCTACATCATTTTGGGCACTGGTGGGATTTCATTAGACGTGACCGAAGTGGAAGTCACACTTCAACTCAAAACGTGAGTGCTTTGTGTCCATGTTTCATTTTAGCTTAAAGTGTGCATTTAATGGAAATTATCCACATTTTCTTGCTTTTTTTAAAAGGGTTCAATATATAACAGCTTTAGAGGGAGAGGATCAAAAACACGTTTCATTCTGAGAGAAAAAAAGAGTCTGGAAAGTGGTCATAAAAAATGAATACTGTTTTTTAACACATATAGTTGTAAGAAAAAGTTATGGCACATTTTATCTTTTATGTTTTTTTCCTCCAATATGTCTTTTTGCACTGAAGTGTGCAAAAAACGCCACACTTAAGGGTGTTCTCAGTAGAGAATTGTTTAACTTATTTTTACTTGGAACATCAACAACACTTGACAGTGTGCAGTAACTTTGTGTAACCGTGTGTGTGTGTGTGTGTGTGTGTGTGTATGCTGCAGGACGAGTAATCAGACGGCCCTGACCATCACAAAAAAGGCTAACGTTCAAATTAAGCTGCTGTTGTCCCTCTCGGGGTGAGTTACTTGTGTCTTGCATGCCTCAGAAATATTCCTGGATTTAACATTCATCTCACTGCTTATAATGGACTGTAGTAGAAGACACTTATCAATGGTAGACAAAGCAGTGAGCAGTTAGTCATTTGAATTGTTTAATTTGAAGGATAAGCTGGTAGCCTGGGTGTCAGAAAATTAGGCCTGTCACAATTACTGCATCATGTGAGATGATCGCAGTCATATGAGCTGACTGCAGCTATTTTTCAGTCATATTATGCTGAACAGACAAAATGTGAACTGGCTGTGTTTGGTTGAGACAAATAAACGTATGTAAAAGAAAGCAGTAAATGCATTCCTGTAGACGTCATGAGGATTATGAAAATAAAGAAGGTTCTAACTTGGTGCTTTAATGTTTAGAGGGCAGCGCTCAGCAATTTCTGTTAGCTATGTAGCTAATTCTAATGTTTTTAGCATGTATGCCAGCAGAATGAGAGTTTTTCTGCTTATATTTCCTCTGTGGTGATGAACATGTAGCTCTGTTCGACTCCACACATACTTTTGTGTAACTGTAGACATTTGTCTGAGTCTATTGAGTCGACAGTACAACCAGTCTTAGCCACTGTATCAGTGAACATAGCTAACAAGTGAGGTGGCCAATCGGGCAGTTTGTCCACTTTAGGCTTGTATTTTAATAGTTGCAAACAATGAACAAGAAAAGACAATTAAATCGTTAATCACAATTATTTAAATGACAATTAATCGTTAGCTAAAATGTCATGATTGTAACAGCCCTAGCAACAGGCTACCCTCTAGTCTGTCGGGTCACATGATCACTGGCCCACTTTTGCTTTTTTAACATTCTTAACGAATGAAATGTTGAATGTGGATCTGTTCTTTCCCCTCATCCTCAGGGTGGCGAAGCCGTCTCAGCTGGAATTCACTGGCGAGGTCAAAGGAGAGAGTGCTATGCAAACAGAATCTGATGTGGGCAGCCAGATTGACTACGAGTTTAGGGTGATTATTATTATTATTATTATTATTATTATTATTATTATGTACACACGGTTGTATATTTTTTAATATTGTGAATAAATTAAAGGGGGATTCCCCCCATCTTTCAAAATGTCTGGTTAGTGGATTAAATGTAAACAGTCATTCAGGTTGGAGGGATCTAGAGAAACTAGAGGGTCACAATAGTTCACAGTGGTGATGATGGTAACCAGACGTCTGAAGCGGTTTTATACCTCCTTCACACAAAGTTGTGATATGAAATAGTTATGAATTCTCCGCCTGATGCTTGAGACATTGTGTTTATGATAGTTTTGACTATTAAAATGCACACATGGCAGAGAGGTACATACAAGTACATTGTTTTACTGTAGTTGTGCTATTAGCTTTTAGCTTTGGGAATTAAAAAAAAATCCATTCATGGTGGAGAGGTACAAACAGGGTGTTGTAGGATAAATGCTTCCCAGAGAACTCATTTTTTTCAGATTTACTGGTATTTTACCATTATCAACATTACATAAAAAACTCAGAAGACAAGAGTAGCTTCACTGATAGTTTTGGACAGTATTTGTGTTGTAGACGTTGCCTCTTGCAGCTGGTGTAGACACATATACTAGCACTATCTTATAACGGTATGTAACCACAATATTATATCAGTTGATATTTTAGCACATTCCCTACACTCTCAGAAGAAAAGGTACAAAACATCTCAGTACCTTTAGTCAGGGAACATAATTGTACCATAATCCATTGAAATGATATTTCCTAAGTTGTACTGACTCCACACACCCCGTCTCGACTCCAGGCTTTTATTTCATTGTTCTGTTTTAAAACGTTAAGTTATGAAAATGTTCAAATACGTACTTTTCCAGTTAGAAAAACTGGAACGCGATCCCCAATATTAATATTAATAATAATAATAATAATAATATTATTGCCAATATTTAACTGTTTAACAATTTAAACAATAATTAATTAAACAACAATAATTAAACAAAAATTGAATTTAAATTTATCGCCGTTTAAGCGCCATCATCGGATTAGTCAGTCATTGGCGATGTACAGTTACATTGTGCTATTGTCCAGGCCTGTCTTGGACCATTTCTGTCGGTCATTTGTCATTAAATTCTGACACAGTGTAAACACAAGCTAAATAAATACTAAATATATAAATAAATTTAAAAAATCTGAAGTCACATCCTTTATATATGAAAAAATAGACATAATATTATTAATGATGTGGAGTAATTTAAACAGCACAAAAAGGCATTCTTTGTGTTGACCTTAAAGGGTTAAGGAGACAACAGCGGGGACTCTGAATGTATGAAGATATGGTTACTCACTGCACTCTAGTAATCTGGTTTTCAGCAAAACCTTGTTCAGTAACAAACTCTGGTTCTTTTTGTAAAGGTTATAAACCTGGGCAAGCCTCTGAAGTCGTTTGGCACAGCATTTCTGAACATCGAGTGGCCCAGGAACACAGTCTCAGATAAATGGCTCCTGTATCTAATGAAGATCACCACTACAGGTGTGGAGAGGATCGGCTGCAGCAGACCGAACGAAGTCAACTTCCTCAAGCTCACTGAAGTATGCAAACCTTCATCAGACACACAGATTTCAAACTTACTCTGAGCTTTTTTATTTAAAAAAGTACGTCAAATACCTGAAACTTAGCTTATGTCTTCATTCTGATTATTTTATGAAAATAAATGATTGAACATTCCAGTCTGTCACTACCAAAACAATCATAACACTACCAACACTTTACCACATGTTTCAGTCGTGACTGTTTCAGTAGTGACTGTTTTAGCTGATGTTGAGCAGAACTCTAAAACACTAGCCAGTGCATGACCAGCAAACACAGCTTTGAACAGCTGGACACATAAAATCAGAATATTTTTATTAAAACACAAAAAAGTTTCCAAAAGTCCACAAAATATGTGTTTCGGTAGTGACAGTTCTTAATGTTTCACACTGATTTTTGGACTTTGGGACACTTTTACTTCAAAACAACGGGATTCAGCTGCTCACCATGTGGCCATGAGGGACAGGGATGCAGTCTCACTTCCTGCTTTAAAATGCAGGGGCATGCCTGAAATAAGGTTCCGCCTATGGACTAACTCTGTGTTTCGGTAGTGACATGAAAAGTTTGATTTAAATTAAACTTTATCTAAATGTTTCAACTTTAAATCAATACGATGTTTGGGACAGACACCTCCCAACAGAAAGTACCATATAAATGATTATTAAATATTATATTAATATATTATAATATATTAATAGCTTATTACCATCCATAATAATAGCTTTGGTTTAAATAGATCATAACATGATCCTTGTAAATATCGAAGGTCTGATTACTTAATTGTTTTTGTTATTTTAGGGGGATTTTAATTTTCTTTTTTTTACTTATTTGAAAGGAAGTATTATACTTTACAGACTAGGAGAAAATGTATGTTTTCTATGGAGTCCTCAGTCCACTGTTTGCCATTCTATTCTACCTGAAAGACAGATGCAGATTATTGACAAGACATTTATCACATGCTGCTGTCACTCAGTACTCTTTGCCTTATTCTTATGTCAGGATAAGTCGCCGGTAAGAACCAAACGTGAAGTCGAGGGAGATGCAAGCTCAGAGGAACCCAAATTCTCCCTTTTTAAAGACCAGAGGAAATTCACAGTCTTGGTAAAACCTTTCAAAAATGTATTTATTATTTTCAAGTAATACTAGGAGATAAAATTCATGATGTTTTATCACAGGATCAGATGTCATTTGCATTAATAACAGTAATAAAACCACACTTTCTAAGTTCTGCTAAAAGAGTGTCATAGCTCACTTTGCTTGGACCAGTTTGTTGTGTTTTATTCTCAAAATGTGTTGAATACTGATCACACAAAAATTGTGCTATTAATGAATATTTTCATCTTTTTTTTCTCTTTTATTGTGGTTCCTTTGTTTATAAACAGTTGTTTATCATGTTATTTGTAGTCGTGCGGCGATGGAGCAAAGTGTGTGCAGTTTAAGTGTCCTCTTCAGGGACTGGACAGTAACGCTGTTATTTCACTAAAGGCCCGAATCTGGAATGGCACCTTCCTGGAGGTGGGTTTCTTATTTTTCAAAGATTGTTTCATTTCATTGAGCTTGAGTTAAAATAGTCTACAAATGTTACAAATAGAGTTGTGCTTTGTATGATTTTTTTTCATTTGTTGTAAGATACTGTACTGTTATTATACCTGAGACCTGGTATATGTTTGCTCTGACCATGAAAGGAGAGAGCAGCTAAGTGTATTATGAGCATAAAACGTATAAAACATGCCATTGTTCCATACAGGAGTTCTCCAAACTGAATTACGTTGACATCATCACGAAGGCGTGGCTCAGTCTGGACTCTGCACCTAAAAACGTTGTGCTGAAAAACGAAGATGCACAGGTGAGCTGGCGCCGGGTTTGGGAGGTATATGGGTAGAAAAGTGAATACCAGTGTGATGATGTTCTGTGATACAGATTTGACCAAGTCATCAACACTGTGACAAACCCAAAACCTGCTAAAGCTCCATCACAAATGACTCAAACAGCTTCAGTAGTTAAAAAAGACATTATAAGCTTATAAATGAGATATTAGTTATATATAATACACATTATACACTCATAAACATTTATAAACTCAATAAAAAGTGTTACAATTTTAGCTTTAGAACAACCATGTACAGTGATAAATATTATTTATTATAAAATTTCATCAATACCTCACTATTTATTAGTTTTAAAGAGAAAATTGTGACATGACGTCAATATGTAATCGCATGTGATATGATGTGAATAGTGATCACACGTGAAATCATGTCAACAACATGATCACATGTGACATGAATAAAACGCGTGATTACTCGTGACAGGATATGAACAGTATGTGATCACATGGCACCGTGTGATTAGTGTGATCATGTGACATGGATGTGATGACGTAACTCATGACATCATGTGAATGTGATCACATGTGAAATGTGACATGTAAATGTGGCCATGTGACGTGCCAGTAATGTGACCACATGCGTGATGTGAATAACACGATCACATGCAACATGTAAATCACACAACGTGGATTATGTGTGATTACTTATGAACGTTACATAACGTGTAATCACATGTGACACCATGTGAATAAAACGTGATCATGTGAAAAGTGTAAATCGATGAAAAGATTTGAGAAAATGCTAAATGAAAACTAAAAATATGCATCATGTGAAAAGTCCAAAAACAGAAAAAAGTGTGAAAATAAAAAGGGATATATTTGGAATATATTGAAAATTGTTCTTGTTATTCATATTGTCCTCTCTTATAACATGTGAATCAGTGTATTCTTCCCTTTAATCAACTATGTTATTGGTATGTGTGCGCGCATGTGTTCGTTAGGTGCGAGTGACTGTGTTTCCAGGACGCAAGGCAGCGCAGTACGGAGGTTTACCGTGGTGGATCATCCTGGTGGCTATATTACTGGGGCTGCTCCTGCTGGGATTGCTCATCTTCCTGCTCTGGAAGGTAAAAGAAATCAAACTTCAAACACAACAGTGATCCATCTCAGTCTATCAGCTGTCATTCTATCATGACTGCCCTGTTTATGCAAAAAATTAACCATCACAAATGTAATATGCAAGAAAACCAAACGACTCTACTTCTTCTAGTGTGGTTTCTTCGGCAAAAACGACAAAGACTCCAAAAACGAACCCGAGAAAGAGAGACTGACTTCCAATGCATAGAGAAAGAGTGAGACACAAAGAAAACAGAAGCTGGGTAATAGCCGTTATGGTGCTCAGAGCTAGCATGGGGGAGTAGGTTTAGCCTTGGCTAACTCTCTTACAGCCTGGGACATCATGCTGTGTTGCATTGCCTAGATCTGGGGGGAAATATGGTGGCAGCTTCCGGTGCACAGTGATGAGCTGTAGACTGCTATTAAGATACGCAAACCGTTCATGTATGGTGTCGCTTCAGGGGTTTAAATGGTTTACATACATGAATATGTAATCCTTGCTTATATAAGGCTTTCAGGTATGAGTACATAACTGTGTGATCATACACCAATCAGCTTGATTGGGGGAAACTGCATCTTTTTTCGGCTAGCTTGGACTTTTAAAGGCACATTTCTCTCTCGCTTTCTGAGCATGCTACACTTTTCAGACTCAGTTCTTTCTCTGGGGCTGTAGGTTTCTGCCTCGCTGCTCATCCCACTTTTGCTTGGTCCAGCATGCTGTACACATGTTGCTGTACTGTTCCTATGTCTTCAGTCTGTATTGGTCCTGTACAGTGTTTCCAAGTCCAGTCCTGGGGGTTTCCCAAATTATCCGAATTTATTACTAAGTACTAAGAATGTTTGGTACTAAGGATGCACCAATACAGAATTTATGGGTCAATACATTAGCCATTGATTCATGCCTAATGCTGCATTTACATTATAACAGTAGACAGTCAACAGCAGAAAGGATGGACATGCTTTCAATGGAAAATTCTGCCAGCATAACATTGCACTTAGAGTTCCTATTTTCCAACGTTTGCCATTGACCGCAGACAGGGAGTCCAGGTGAACCCGGTGTTATACGACAAAATATTAAACACCTTAAATACACAATCGAGACTGCCAAACTCTCCTCTGATAATCATCCGTTTTCTCCGTGATGAGGCATGTTTTTTGAGGAAAATTTTTCCGAGGGCACCTTTTAAAGACATTAATTTAATGATTATTTTACATTTAGTGTAGTGAGCATTAAGGTTTAAACTGTAAAGATGTATAATAGATACATTTAACATAGCCATGATGACGAAGCTAATTCAGACAACATGATTGATCTACCTACCCAGCAAACACACATTGTCACAACGTTGTCAAAAGGTGGCGCTGTTTACGTTCTCTGAACAAGGTTGTCACAACATTGTCACAACCTCATTATTCAGTAACGTTGCCATACAATATTATGACTACCTGTTGGCAACTTAGCGGAATTCCATGGAGTTCCATTCATAACATAAAGGTACTTACGAGGATTCCAGGAGGTTTTGATATCGTACTGACGACGTTGCCACTACGTTGTCTCAGTGTTGTCAGATAATGTTGTTACAACTTTCTGAGGAATTACATTTCAGCGTTGTGACAATGTTGTGGGCACCAAAACAATAGGTTGTCACAGTGTAACTGTGTTTGCTGGGTAGGTTCAACAGGCTTTGCAGAATGTTAGTAAAAATCCCATTCAGCCTAATGAGAAACTCTAGTGCACAACGCAGTTTTTATCAAAGTGGACGACTACAGCGTTTGTTTAGAGTCGTTAGTTATTGTGTATGTTTAGGGATAAATGCTTTTAGGGATGTACATACTGACTAATTTTGTCAATAGAATAAGCAACAACAAAAAATGGAAAAAATGGAAAAACTGACAAAATGAGCTTAGGGCCGTAGACTTGCGTTTTAGATGACGGCACTGGTGGTTAAAAATTGAAATTGTTTTGTTTTTGAAAAGTAGCCAAGGGAAATCAGTAGCTTTTGTGTGTGAGGGGCGTATGAGCTAACTCTATCCAGAACAGCGTTATCAAAGAAATATATATCCACCGTTTCTGGATCTATCTAACATTAACTACAGTGGTTAGCCTAGCACTGTCTCTGCCTTCTGAACTGCGTCCCTAACAACTCACTTTCACATTAAGCTCACATTCAGGCACTCATGCTTCATAGTAGCAAAATATTGTAGTCGTTGAAATCACAGTTTACTTATTAAAGCGTAAAATTTGTCTTTCCCCGAATTGTTAGCCCGCTTATTCTACATTTCACACACTTGAAATTAACACACTTTAAATCAGAACGTGCCCTTTAGGTTAAATGGGATTTTTGCCAGCTTGACCAGCATAGCAACAGTTGCTACAAAAGAACACATTTGTGGGTGAAGCATTGAAAGGCCAATGATTGTAAAAGATTTCTGCTATTTTATCATTTATAACTATCAGATATAATTGCGGTATCACTGGAATTAAAAAGAAAACTATATTAATTCCCATAGATCTGAAAACAATATCTGGGCTGCAGCTTTATTGTGTACTCTTAATCGATACAGTCGTCCTGGGTGCTTGAGTAGAGGACCAATATGAACCGAATTGGTACTGGATTGGGAAACACTGCTCTGGTAGGAAGTTCTAGCCCTGTTTAGCTAATGTTAATGGTAATCCTTGTCATTTTTGCCCTCAGTGTGGATTTTTTAAACGTACCAAATATGATGACAGCGTGCCGAGTTACAGTGCCGTGCGGATAAAGAGGGAAGAGCGAGCGTACCCACCTGGCAAAGAGCAGCCATTGGAGAAGAAGCAGTGGATGACTTCCTGGAATGAAAACGAGAGCTACTCCTAGCCTTTCGCTACGGTGGCTGCTGGCACGCATTATTAATCTGCTTTAAAGGAAAACAAAACGTAAAAACCAGGCCAAAGACATCTTTCCCAAAACCCTGAGTGCTTCATGTTTGCACACCCTGAACTGAGTGTACATATCACAATGACAGAATGAACGGAACTGAAAAACAAATGTACAAATAGAATTTCTTGCACCTTCTCCACTGAGGGACTGGTTTCAAATAGTGGAAGAAATTGAAAAGAAAAAAAAATGAATTACTGAATGGAAAAGGGGGAGGAGCATATTTGCCCTAAAAGGGAATTCCACTGATTTTTCAAGTCATTTTGCGTAATTTAGTCAGTAAGAAGTAAAGTCATTCAGAGTGGACTTGTTCACAGTGGTGGTGATAGGAACCAGACATCTAATAAGTTTAATGCCTCTTAAAGCCACATCACTGAGAGTTATTAAATATATTAAATGGTTATGAATATGCTGCCTGGTGTCTAAGAAAATATTTTATTATAGATTTCTTATAGTATTTTGGCATGGAACATCTTTCATGGTGGAGACGGACTGCATGTGTTGTGAGGTGAGGAAAAATAGTTCCCAAAGAAAACTTTATCATAGTAAACATTACATATAAACATGCAGGAGGCACATGCAGGTTGACTGGTCACTTCAGATAGCAAATAGCATGGCTACATCTGTGTTGTAGAGATCATGACTTTCTGGTTCCTATCAAAACCCCTGTAAAGAAATCAGTGTCTCTACAATGAACCAGTCCACATCAAACCACCCTGAATGACCCTGTTTACATCTCAGTGAATACATTATGCAGAAATTCTAAAAAAAAAGGGTGGAATTCCCCTTTAACTCCATGTCTATGCTTCAGTGGTCCCACATTCATGAATAGAACATTACATGCATTCCCATATGTTGTATATATACTTGATCATGCGTCAGAAAATGTCTATTTATTCTGAGATTGTTCTGTGGGTAACAAACAGGCCAAAGACTCTATATCACTGCTGTTGGAAGAAAACCTCGTATCTCCATTTTTGACGTTTTTCAGTTTTTGAAATAATTTGAGTATGTCTGTTGTCCTTTACATTGTATGTAAATTTGATGATAAATGGACCAAAAGTAACGGCCCAAAACGACTTGGAAAAAATTCTGGTTCCATTGACTTACCTTAAAAGTTGAGTAGGTTTTTTCCTTCTCCTGTAAAGTTATCATTTTGGAGATACAAGGTTTTCTTCCGACAACAGGGATGCTTTTTTTATGCTTATAATGAGGGTCTATGCAAGGAATCTAAAACTCGTCTCCATCTTTTCAACTTTAACTTTTTGAATTTTACTTAAAACTGCTTGGATGAATGTAAATATTTGTTTTTTGAATTGTTACTCATGTCTAAGTTCTCTGTTTTGTAAGTTAGGTTTTTTTTATTATAATGAATTGTGAAGATTGGTACAGATTCACATTAACTACTGCAATTAGTCTTCATTTGTTCTGACAGGATTCCTGGAGGTCATCATTCATCTACATATGTCATCCTTTGTAGGTTTTACTGTAAAACTGACAAGGGCTTAAATTTGAAGCAAGTTAGCACTTTTATATAATGAGAAGTATTATGTATGTATAGTGTTTCTTTTTTTTTACATACATGGATATAATGAGAAATGGGGGAGAAAGGAATTTCAGCCATATTTGCCTACAGACGTGATGAGAGAAATGTTACAGAATGTATAGTCAGAGGTCATTAGTATTATTAAAAATAACTGCTGTGGATTTGGGGGGGTGGGGGGTGGGAATGGAGGGTATAGCACTGCAGAACTCACCATTGCTTTCAAATGAAATAATTTCCAAATCTGATGTGGTAAAACCAACTCGACTGTTAACAAAAAAACAATAAAGTGGAGATTTTTTTATGTTTGATTTTGTGGGAATCCTTTTGAATTTATGATTTTTGGGCATGTATAGTATTTTGCAAAAATCACTGACCACCCTTCAGTACAGGTAATTCATTTTTCAGCATCAAGAAAAAAAGAACAAAACAATTCTGGATAGAATAATATAAGAATAACAGCTGATGTATAATAAAAAACATTTTTCATTCTCTATTGAAGGTGGTATTAATCATAATATAGCAATGATAATCTTTGTGTGTAAAGTTCACTCCTGACAATGTATATCAGGGAAAAAAAAAAAAGAAAAATCTTAAACGTGGTCTTCTGTGCACTTTGGAATGAAGCCCTTCATATATTTAGCAAAAAATTACAATGAAGCCTCAACAATCAAATATAATATAAAATTTGGTAACACTTTCTATGAATGTCACCTTTGTAAGCATCTATAAACACATTTATAACGTTATAATGCATTCATATGGCATTATAAACATGATTATAAACATTTATAAAAATGAATTACACTGTATAGCCATGTTTATTATGCATTATGAATTGTTAATATAATGCATTATAAGTAGTGTTGATAAAATGTTAAACTGTCAGTGTCAAAGAAGTCAGTCTCAGCTTGGAGAGCGTAAAGTAAAGACAAAGACCAAGCTAACGGTGGTGTACATTACCTTTCCCACATTGGGTAAAACACTGATGGCAGCTCTAGTTTAAACTCTGACATTTGAAGCCTGTAATGTGCTTTACTGTGTTTTAGTGTTTCAGTAAATCCTTCAGTAAATACTTCAACTTGAAGCCTCACTCTTAACACTGGAGGAGGCTTTAGTACAGTACGCTTCACTTTACTTAGAGCGGACAAATACGACTTATGAGCTCTTATAATTAGTTATGATCAGTACTTATAATGTATTATGTTAACAATTCATAATGCATAATAAACTGACTATAACGTGTAATGCATTTTTATAAATATTTATAGCCATGTTTATAATGCCTTATGAATGCATTATAACATGTTATGAATGTGTTTATGGATGCTTACAAAGTGACATTCATAGAAAGCGTTAGCTAAATTTTTTCAGTACTTGGTTCATCTTAATTCAATGAGTTCATTCTTTGCCTCCCATTCTTTTCAGTTCGCTTGCTTTCAGTTTTTCAAAAAAAAATCTGCAGGACTATTTTTCCACACCTCCAAAGTTCAGTCTTAGAAGTTGGTTGCATTTTCTGCTTCTCACAGTCCGAGTAATCCCAATAATACATTTAAATGCTGATAGATTTGATATTAATGTTAATGGCAGCTTCTGTGTAATTTTCTGTTATATATGTTTGAAGAAAATGACACTGAAAAATTAATAACCTGCCCTTAATGGCAGTTTTGACTGGAAATCAAATAAACAAAATGGTGGTCTCTGACTTTCACACAACAAGAATAAAAAAAAAAAATGAACACAAAAAATAGTCAATTTTAGATGAGTACATAAACTACATTCATGATCACACGACAAATGTTAAAAAATATAAAAACACATGGTTTTGTTTGTTAAGCCATGTTTTATTCACATTCCTTACAGACAAAAGTCCAGCATATTCTCATTCATAAACACTATGTTAGTCATGAAATTAATTACTTGCCAGGTCCAGCTTATCAAAAGTCTCAGTGGTGGCTGTGATATCAGACAGATGGTAGACTACAAAATCAGCATGTATTTGCTGTAAAAAAGAACCAGATTTTGCTGAAGTGTTAAGACATTCGTTCATAATATATAATCAATCCACCCTCTTCTTTAAGTCCATTCTGTTCGTATTTCCCTTTAACTTAAATCAGTTTAAAATATAAAAGCAACACACACACATTGCACAATCTTCTCTGATTAAACCAAAAAATAGGCAGTTAATGTAAAATACTTTTATTTATTATTACACAAGTAAAACGGTCACTCGTTGCCATTTGCAGCTACAAAAGACAACGAAGACCTCTCCTCCCATCGCAATTACATTTACAGCACTCATTTATGAAAGTATTATGTACAGCAGACAGTAAAAATATTTTAAAAATTACAGTAGAGGAGGCGAAATGCACTCTTAAAAATGCACACTCCATTTACATAGTGTGCTTGTGTGCTTTATAATGCGTTGTATAGATTAAAGTGATAGACTGTGGTTAGTAGGAGTGTCTAGGCTAAAGTGCAGAGCACTAGCAGCAACGTCAGGTTTAAAAGAATAGCCCAACAAACATGGTAAGATGGCTAACTACAAATGGAAGCTAACAGCTTGACCAATCATGCTGACATTGATAACAATGAATGGAAGCCAGTGGCCTCCAATTAGCTCGACCAAACATTCTAACATGGCTAATAGTGAGTCTAAACTAGTAGCTAGCAATTGGCATGTCCAATCATGCTAACACAGCTAACAGTGAATGGAAATTAATAGCTACCATTTAGCTTGACGAGCCATGCTAACATAGTTAACAGTGAGTGGAAGCTAGTAACTACCTACTAGTAGAGGTGGGTAATCCAGATCCAACAAGTAAAAACCCTCCCCAGGATTTTGCTCCAACTGCTCGACTTCTCTAATTTGCTCAAACCGGCAGCAAAGGTGTTCAGGCAGTTGGAACAAAAATCCTGTGGAGGGTTTTTACGTTTTGGACCTGGATTACCCACCTCTACCTATTAGCTTGACCAATCATGCCAGGCTATTTTTAAAAAATGCAAGGAAGTAGCTACAAATATTGGCATGACTGTATTTGCATAATGCAAAATTGTATGTATTCAAGTTCATTCATTGTTAGCAACATTAGCTTTTTGACTGAAGTATTCCTTTAAAACAGGACTGACAGTTGCAGCGCATGTCCGAATAGCACTGCTTATCTTGGATCAGGCCACATCCCTGTTTATGGTAATTACAGTCTCAAGAACAGATCCCAGATCAGCATTCGTGCTCTAAAATACTGCCTGAACACCAGCCCTGATGAAAAAGACTGGAAACAGATATATTAGTCAGCTCATTTACACTGCTGCCCTCTAGTGTGTACAACTGGTAAGTGCTACTGGTGAGTGTGGATGGCCTCAGCAAAGGCATTGGATCACTGAAAAAGGTAGGAGTATCTCATAAAGGAAACGTTAATCAAACTAAAACCTGTCCACTGTAAACAGCAGGGTGATTGATCTATCCAGGCTCCACCCATAGAGGTGTTCTTTTGTGGTAAATGTTGCAAGATTAGACAAGCTGTACACAACCTCATTCCTTCTAATCAGACTGATGACGCAGGTGACAGATGAGATGAAGTTTTTGTTGGTAATAATGCAAACAATCACGTGTTTTTTCCCCTCAGAATGCGCCAATGTTTTATAAAGCCTGTCAGGCCTAACGACAGTGACTATGGACGAACTAACTATGTCCTGAAATATAAAACTAAGAGCAAGCTCATTAAAAAAAACATCAATGATAATAATAATAATAATAATAATAATAATAATAATACCAGAGGCCTTTACAGCAGGTGTCTGACTGCGAGGAACTGCAAGAGTGCACCAGAAGAATCTGTGTGAAGTGACTTCAAGTGATGGTCAGTCTGTGTATTCTTCCACTCATCTACAACCTACACAGCTTCTCCAATGACCACAAATCATGCCCTGCTGGAACTGCTCGAATGATCAGTGTTGTTTCCCTGTGCGTACTGCCAGCCCCCGACTAGCTGGGTCGTGGGGTACCGAGATGTCTGTTGCCATGGCGACTTCAGCAGGCTGATTCAGGTTTTCCCGGCCTCCCGCCGCTTCGCTCGGCCTCCTTCTCTTTCTTCGCTCGCTGTTTCTCCAGCTTTTCCTGAGCCTTCTTCATGTCTCGCAGCTTCCTCTTGATGTTGGAACGATCTCTGTGACTAGACACTCCAAGCTCCTATTAAGGGAAGCAATACGGATTTCAATATTTAAAGCAACAGTTCAGAAAAAAAATCTGATTGTCAAACTTCTCAAAAGTCGCCAGTGTCCTTTCCTATGGAGGTAGACGATCTCTGAGTGACAAGTCAGAGTTTCTTTATTCCTATAATATCGTGCAAAAGTTGAAATGCATAAAGTTGTAAACATGACTGCGATTCATATATTACAGCTACACTATGTACGTTTTTAGAGACCTCTCTGGTGAAAACGTGTGGAAGAACATTTTGTATGGTGAGTTGTGTTTCAGACCCCTTTCCTGAGTGAATGAATCTGATGATTGTGCCTGTGTTGAAAGAGTATTCAAAGAAGACTCAGTCAAAACGTCTTCTGAGGATGTAAGTCAATGATCTGTCTTCATATCTTCATGATTTTACATTTAAGATCTAAACATCGAGCCGGACTTTTTTTGATCCTGCACGTACGACGTGAACACTAAGATCTAGTCTGAAAAACTGACCCAATACCTCTGACTTCTTCAGGCTTTGCAGAGTCACAGGAACAAACGCAAACCATATTTTAGCATGATTTTTCTCCTGACTCAGTAACACTACTCCTTTGAATTTGAACAAAAAAAAAAATCTTACATAGTGCTGCTTTAAAATGCTGCTTTAAAACTGCCACCACTGACTTACCTTGAGCTTACTACTGTCCAACTCCATGAGCTGTTTGCCATCCACGCTCTTTGCTGTGAACTCAGCGATGTACTGGTCCATGTTCATGCCCATCAACCAGTGACACACCTGTTGGTTGGTCCACTCTGACAGGGGTCGGTTTTGCCACACGTGTTGCTTCACAACAGGAACAGGCTCATCATCCAGTGTCTGAATAAGAACAGAACCATGAGAACACAAACACACAGCAGGCAAATCTGTATCAGCTAACTGATACCGCATACTGCAACATGCATCCTGCCCATCTTAATCTAACTGTAAAAGGCTTTAAAGCTATTAATGTAGGTTGTGTTAATACGGTACCTTCAAAATTCATCTATGAAAATAATTAATTAAAGGTGGTCTTGAATCTTCTCCCTATATTAAATTAATAAGTGTGTAATAATGTAACTGTCACTGCCAATATGGTCATTTTAAACGAGACATTTTTTCTTAGACATACATGATCATATACTTCAACATGAACATATGAATCATCTTTAGTTTGATGAAATGCTGAGTCTAGTTTAATTCTGAATAACCTGATTCTGAATCATTCTAACCTCAACTGTTTATTAAATAACTCCAAGAACTCTAACTCTAAGAATCCTAAACCCTAGACATATATCCCCCTAGATCAAGAACCCTAAACCCTAGATCAGGACCCTAACCCTGAGATCAAGAAACCTAAACCCTTGATGTATATCCCCTAGATCAAGCAACCTAAACCCTAGATCATTACCCTAACTCTGAGATCAAGAACCCTAAATGTTTATCCCCTAGATCAAGAACCCTAAACCCTCGATGTATATCCCCTAGATCAAGCATTTTAAACTCTAGATCAGGAATACTAAACCACAGATCAGGAAATCCAAATCCTAGATCAGGACCCTAACTCTGAGATCAAGAACCCTTAAACCTAAGACGTATAACCACTATATCAAAAAACCTAAGGAATCCTAAACCCGAGATTAGGAAATCCAAACCCTGAGATCAGGAACCCTAAACCCAGGATCAGGAACCATACACCTAAAATCAATAACCCCAAATCCTAGATCAAGAACCCTAAACCCTAGATCAGGACCCTAACCCTGAGATCAAGAACCGTAAGCCCTAGATGTATATGCCCTAGATCAAGAACCTTAAACTCTAGATCAGGAATCCTAAATCTGAGATCAGGAATTTCAAACCCTAGATCAGGACCCTCACCCTGAGAACAAGAACTCTAAACCCTAGATGTATATCCTCTAGATCAAGAACCTTAAACCCTAGATAAGGAATCCTAACCCAGAGATCAGGACCCTAACTCTGAGATCAAGAACCCTAAACCCAAGATCAGGAACCTAAAATCAATAATCCTAAATCCTAGATCAAAAACCCTAAACCCTAGGCCTACAACCCCTTGAACAAAAACTCTGAAGTCTAGACCAAGAACCCTTAATGATAAATCCAGAATCCTGAGAGAGAGAGAGATTAACATTTTCTGTACCTTTCACACCTTTTGTCTTGCTATTATTGGAATCTTGAATAATTTCCTGTATATTTAACTCTATATGCTATGGGTTATGTTGTATATAAAAACAATACAATAGATTTCAGACTTCTGTACAGTAGGTGGTGAAAGATACACAATAACTCTCTTTCTTTCACACACACACACACACACTACATACACACACTACATACACACACCTCACACCTTCCACTTACAAAACCATAAGATCTCAGTGCAAATCATTTACATCTACTCTTCACACTCTACAGCGCAGATTCTCAACCCAGTCACATTTCAAGGCTGCAGAATTCTGGAACTGAATCTAAATATACACTACTGTTATAATAAAGTTACAATAACTAATAATAAATACAATAAAGTTACTGTTATTTTATTATAACTTCTTTCTGGATATTATTTTATTTAGAACTTCATTCTGGATATTAACTTTATTGCAACTTCATTTTGGAGGTAAAACTTTACTAGACCTACATTCTTGATGTTCTACAGCTTTATGAGTCATTACAGAATAATCTACAGTTCTGCTCATCATTCTGGACAATTTTTTCCAAATTTTTTACAGCATCCTACAAAATAGTTGAAAGCTATAAATCCATAGAGCGCTAGCATGAAATTAAAAGCATTGTAATCTTTAACTGTAACCAATTTGGTCGTACATATTAAAAACAGTGATTCCAAACTTAAAGCGTAGTGCACACATGGACTGGCTGAAAGGCCGTGACGGCTGGGTGGAGAGTCTATTCTCTACAAAGCCAATGGGCAGATTATCCACTACTAATGACCTAAGGTCAAAAGGTCATGCGGCATGTGACCACTACGGTCACTCACCTCACAGGAGGAGAAGGTGAGGTTGTGGGAGCGCCCTCGAACACAAGGGTCACTCAGTAAAGCCGCCAGCGCAGACCGAGGGCTACTGGCGGTCGACTCGTCCGTCACAGATAAACTCTGCAGCGGGCACATACGCAGAAACACACACCGTCTTACGTGATGGAGAGAATCAGAACGAAAGCTGGCCTGACCTCAGATCAACACCTGCTCTTTGGACTTTGCTGTTGAATGAAAAATGTTCACCAAATTCCCAAATTTCACAAACCCTGTTCTTAACTCCAGTGCATGCAACTGAATGAGATCCAGTTCATTACTGTGCTTTGCTACATTTCAACAAGCTGAAGTTTGTTGTCGTTGTATTTGGCTCGAGTATAAACAGTACATACTGTGTAAAAGCCAGAACCACCCTTCATTTCTTTAATTTACAGTTAAAACAGGCATTAGGTACAAGTTGTTTTTTTTTCACCATCAGGAAAAAAGAAGAAAAAAAGTCTCAACAACTAAATATACTACCATTTTTTTGCAGTAATTTAGTGTGTCCACTCTGTCTTTATTACAGCTTCCATTCTTTTCAGGGGACTGGCAATCAGTTTTTCAAAGAAATCTGCAGGGATTTATATTTTTTCATACCTCCAAAGTTCAGTCTGAGAATTTTGTTGCATTTTCTGCTTCTCATGATCCAAATAATCCCAAATACATTCAGTGATGCTAAGATCTGGACTCTGGAGTGGTCAGTCCATTATTCAGTGAACAACAGCAGCTTCTTTGTTTTTTCTTTTTTCTCTTTCCTTTTCTTTTTAACAGCTACATCCTTTCAGACTCATAGTGTTGAGTTGTCGTCTCACAGTGGAAGGATGGACAGAAACACCTGTGGATTTATTCAGATCTGAATCTAGGAGCGGAGCTCGATTTTCTCCTCTCTCTCAAAGATGAAGCTTTAGGTTCTGTTTATCTGATGGGGACAGTGTTGGTGGTCTATCAGGTCTTGCAGGTGGTTGTCAGGAGTCCCATTTTCTCTGTAGCTTTTAATCATTATTTGAACTCCAGTTTTGGAAACTCCTGTATTTCACTTATTTATCTTTGATTTTCCTCTTCATTATTTGAGTGGATTATACATCTAATCTCCTCAGAAATATCTCCTGGAAATGAATGACTTGAACTTAACGTTACTGGACGTAAATGAAGGGTGGCCTGACTTTTGCACAATACTGCACACTATATGTCCAAAAGTGTATAAACCCCTGTTCATCCAGTGTTTCTTCTAAAATCAAGGGTACTAATAGGGAGTTTGCTTTGCTGCAGTAACAGCCTCTACTTTTTACACTAGATGTTGGAACATTGCTGTGAGGATTTGACTGCAATCAGCCACAAGAGCATTAGTGAGGTCAGGTACTGATGTTGATGATTAGGTCTGGATCACTTCAGCTCATCCCAAAGGTATTGAATGGAGCTCCATCACTCCAGAGAACACAGTTCCACTGCTCTACAGCCCAATGCTGGAGGGCTTTATACCCTTTTAGCTGATGCTTGGCATGTGGCATGGTGATCTTAGGCTCATCTACAGCTGCTCCAGAGCATCCTATTCAATTGAGAGTTCTTTTCTATGTGCGCCTACTGAAAGCCTGTGTCAGAAATGAGTGCAACTTTAAGCAGCTGTATTCACTTATTAGAATAATTGAATACTTTTGGACGTACAGTGTACTTACTGTAGCTCTATCTCCAGATGTTTCCGCAATCATGTGAAATATATCCTACGAATTTTCTAATCGATGTTAAGTAGTGCTAAACTAATAACTAATGCTACAGTAAGACATACGAGAAACACATGAATAGAATGGAAATGGTAATGGTGAATGAATGCTAGTGACTTCTACTTTACTTGTCTATACAAGTGTTCGTTCATAATCAGCAACCATGGAATCTGTGGGTGAAGCGTCCCTCTAGAATAGTTTACAACAGTGACGGGTGCCACTACCTAGAACTAGAACTGCAACGCATGCACAAAGTTGAGACGTCTGTTAGTCAGCCACTTCTGATGATTCTAGTTTTCAAAGTTTGCACCGACACTAAGTGTCGGTTTCCCAGACAGAGGTTAAGCTAGAGAATCTACAGTCACAATGCTGTGGACTACATAGCATTCCGAATGGGAATTCTCCATAGAGAGCAACTAGGCTTAATTACTGTCCAGGAAGCAAACCCTACATATGATTAATTAACTCATGCTACTGAAAAAAAAACAGAACTGTTACATAGCACATCAACACAAATGTCTAGTAGAACATCCAGTAGCTACTAAATGGCATGTATGTTAGTTAGCTGCCATCTATTAAAGCCGAATACTCTACACTGAGAACACGTTCCATACTGTACCAAATCTAAGGAATGCGAGAGGCGAGAAGGCCAGGACAGGTTGGTCTGTTTCAAAGAAGAGTTTTAGGCAGATATCAATCAAACTGACGCACAGGAAATGCCATATCCTGCAGGAGGCATTAGCATAGCAAGTTTGCTTGAATTGAACATATGAATGAACTAGTTGTCAACCACTGACAATGACGTTAAACAAAAGCTGTCCAGTCTGAACAAAGAGACAAAGTTAAAGGGCATTTCCAGACTTGTCCTGCACCCAGCACCGATTGTTAGCTCATTTTGGGGGGAGAGTCTCATTATCACAGGTTTGTTTTCACACAGGAGAACTTCTTTCGGACCTACATAATTCCATATGCCACCTTCATTTATGGAGGACCAGGGATTGGTTCTATGGACTGCTCCTTGACTCGAAAACAGCTTTAACACTTGGCCAAAGGTACAGATCTATCATGACAAGCGGTCCCAGGCCCGGAAAAACAAACTCAAGTGTGAAAACACCCTAAGTTTGGAGTGCAAGAGTGAACGTCTGAGCAGCTCTGCAAATTCATAGCTCTTTTTTCTTTGCGAGAAATTTTCCAGCATCTTTAGGAATCACTTGGAAAGGTTTAAAGGAGACTCCAAATCATCTATACAGGTGCAAAACAATAATGAATGCTTGACAACTGTCTGAAAATCAGCACCTCTCTCATTCTAGGGGTGGGCAATACAGTAAAAATATGACATCACAACATTCAACATTTTTGTGCTATTTTTCCAAGAGTGCAATGTGACAAAATTGAGACTACAAAAGTTAATATTTCGCAAAAATAAAGTATTTAATAAGGAACACAAGGACTAAAAAAACAATTACTACCAATAAATGAATGAAATATGATGACATAATCAGCTGACATCCAATCAGCTATTTGTTACTGTTTGTTACTGTTTACATTACTATAACTTGTCTAAGTCTGTCTTATGATACATGCAGTAGTTCAGTTCTACACTCTTAAAGAAGATGATTCTTCAAGGGTTCTTTAGTAAAGACAAAGAACCCTTAAGGAACCGTCTATTTTAAAGGAGTGTTCTAGAAGTGCTGATGATACCAATGAAAAGCGTATTGTGACGTTATTTTTCGCGATAATGAGATCACATTGTTCACCCATACGCACTCTTTTCTCTCTCTCTCTCTCTACTCACCTTATTTCGTCGTTCCCTGTCCTCCGTGTGTCCCTCTGAAGGAGTGTGTGGCAGGCTGTAGCTGGACAGCGACTGCTCCTTCTCTCGCTCCCTCTCTCTGTCTCTATCTCTATCTCCAAACCAGGAGAAGGGCATGCAGGAGGGAATGGAGGAGACGGAGTCCGACGGAGAAACGGTTCTGCTGGATTCACCCACTAGCTCTGCAGAACCCCTGCACATTACAGCACAGAAGTGCAAATGAACTCAAAAATGATTCTGTTCACAAAATTGTCCAAATCTACATGAATATTACGCCTGTGAATGCTACTATTGCTACAAACGGTAACATTATATTTCGATAGTAAACGATGCAGCAACTTAACTTTCACTCGACTAAATATCTACTAAAAACATAAACCTAACCCTGGTCCAAACCCTAAACATAACACTCAGTTTAACCACACTGTTAACAATTTAAGCATCTGTAAATCTAATCTATGGAGTGCTAAAGTGAACTATTCAAATGAAGCGAGATCAAAATAAATAAGGGGTAACAAATGAAATTGATGAATAATCTAGCAATACTAATTAGCATGACTGAAAAAGAATATTAATAATCTGCTAATTAGATTCCATTTATGATGAATAACACCAGGATTTTGGGGTTAAAGTACTCCGTGTGTAACCTACAATACTGCAAGAACCACAGACCTTGTAACCCAACTATTCAGTGCCTATTTTTGCCTTTAGGTGTTTATCTTTGCTTTGAATTCAAGTGAATTTAATTTTTCTTTGTATAGCTTGTTTTACAGTGTAAGATGGCAACAAAGTAGCTTTACAGAGAAGTGCCAGACATCAGTTAGATACAACTAGACACACAGAAAGATCAAAAACTGACAAGACTGTCACAGCAATAGGAAGCTGTTTAATCACCTGCTCCCCACAGAGCCCCGCAGCGTGTCCTTCTCTTGTTTCCGGCCTTTCCCACCTGACCTGCGCAGACCACTACACAACAACGACAAAGAGAGTGTGCAAATAAATACCATTGAAATGACATACAGAACATGTGGACATACGGACATACAGGAGGAGCCAGGTCTTACCCAAAATCTGGAAATCTTCTCTTGGATCTTCTTGTGGTTGAACTATCACTCTCCTCATCTGTGAGAAAGTATTTGTATTTACATATAAAAAATGTTGTATTTAAAATGTATATATTTAGCCGTATATTTAGTCCCAAGTTAAGATCTGAGAAGGTCAAGACAAGACTGTTAATAAATTAATATTACAAGCAAATGTTATGTTAATTTAGGGATTATATCTAGTCTTACATGATCTGTGTCAAAGTAGGAAATACTAAACTTCCCAATTAATGTCAATCAGTTGTTATGTCTGTTACCAAGCAATGCAATATGTGCAAAGCTGATACATACAAACAACAAATCAGAATAACAAAAAGAAACATAAGGTAATGAAAAGAAATGTCGGTAGCCGAAATGGATCCCACAGCATAAACAAAACAATACTGCACCTTTGAGCTTCCTGCTCTGGCTGCTTTCCTTCTTCTTGTACCTCCTGTTGCGAAGGTTGTGAAGCAGGCTGGACGAGGAGTGGCTGGAGGAGGGGGAGTGAGGAGTAGAGGAGTCTTTAGGAGGAGAGAGGCTGGACCTGGTGCTGCCTCCTCCTTGAGGGGTGAGGCCCTGAAGCGAGGGAGAGCTCGACACATCACCACCTCCTCCTCCTGGCCTGCTCTGGCCCTCAGACTGTATGGAGGGTACAGGTATGGAGAGGCTCTCCAGGAAGGAGTGTCTTCGGTTACTTTCAGTACTGTTATCACTAATACCCTCTTGTTCCTATGGATGAAAAAGTGTCCAAAATTCATATGAATTACTTCATATATTAAAGACAATGTACATTAATCCCAAAAGAAATCATACATAAACATATAATAAAATGTACACACTAATTGTAAACAGCGAAAGCATGAATATTAATACCGTTAAGCTGTGGCGACAGTGTTTTGTTATTTTGCCATTATAATTGCTTTATTTTATGCATATTTATATAGCATCATTTCTTGTCCCTGAAATGTAGCCACTCGACTCCTCTCAACGTTTTATTTGTTTTATGTAAACGTTAATGTGAATGCATGAGTTTTAATCTTTACTTGGGTATTCAAGGCTGGGTCAGCAGAGCAATTTGTTAGCGAATGTCATAAAAGAAGCTAACCATGGCTGCATTTGTTAGGCTTTATCAAGCTAAAACTAGCTACTGATGCCAGAAACAATTCAAATTAACAATACAAAACAGTTTTCATATAAACAAAATCATCCAAATTCATAACAAATTAAATCTGTGTAATGCCTAATATACACCCCTGAGGCACACCTAAGTCAACACAAATTGCGCTGCACTAAGTAAACAAAAGAAAAAAAAAAAGGAAAATTTGGCATTAGTGTACAATCAGATTGTCAGTGCCAGTCCTGGTGCTCACCTGTGGTTGAATGGAAGACTGGGTGCTTTTGGCAGACTCTCTGAGTTTGTTTCGAGATGGCCTCTTGCGCTGGACCCCCTGGGTCAGCCTGGCTTTGGCTCTGTATGCGCTGCAGTCTAGACGATCCGTCTGAGGTACTGCCTCCCCCAAATCTGCATCTGAGGAGTGACACACTAAAGTTATTCCAACAACAAATGTCATTATTTTCAGCACAACCACAAAGCTCTCTGGATCAGTTGTGCTTCTCAGCACTGTAAAGGATGAAGGTTTCTTTCTAAATGCCACAAAACAGCAAATCACCAAAAGCTCTATTCAGTGCTCACGCTACAGGGTGAAATGTGATTACAGGGCAGAAGGGGCACATATTTGTTTTGTTTTTTTGCGTAAATGTGAAAGCAATCTAACAATGGAGAGCTATTAAAAGAGAGCTAACAATACAGCTAGGAGATTAATATCTTCTTGTAGCTGTATAACAGTAGTGGGATTGGTTGACACCGCAAGGATTTCCAATAGCTGCATTTGCATCATGCATTCTGGCTACTGCAGGGAGAGAACAGTGATGAATGGAAAACACAACTGTGAAATGTGTTGACCCGATGAGACAGAGGCATATGATTGCTTGTTTAACTTGATAATGAAATGTATGCACTTCAGAACTCAGGTAAATAACGCTACTGACAGACAGGCAAATGTGAATCTTAAAGGCAGCAAGATCTCATCTGACCAACAAATTGGAGCCTTGCAATGTGAATGAAGCAAAAACAATGTCGAGCAGAAAGGCCACACAGTTATAAAAGACCATGCAGTTCATCATCAAAACAGCATTCACAGTCAAGGATTCTCAGATAATGAAGCTTTGGATGACACAGTGCAACAGGCGATTGATAACGGTACCATAGAGAAGGTCGTCTGATGTCTGACCGTTCCTGTCTGAGGATCCTGAGGGGCTGCTATGCTGGCTCTCTCCTGCAGGGCTGCAAGAGTCCTCAGGGTGGCCTAAACTTGCTCCACCCTCTAGACAAGCAATCTGAAAAGCCATAGACAGAGACAAAGTCATTTCTCCAGAAAATACAAGAAATTATTTAAATTATTACTGGATGTCCCTAAGTTCAGCCTTGAATTTTAACATTTTTAAATAAATCAGATTTTTAAAAATTACTGAACTGCATTTTCATTCATTTTGAACTGAACTGTTTTATTTGAGGGTGGGACGGTGTCTGCGTGGGTTTCCTCTGGGTGCTCCTGTTTCCTCCCACAGTCCAAAGATATGCAGTCAGGCCAACTGGACACACTAAATTGCCCCCAGGTGTGTGTGTGTGTGAATGTATGTCTGTCTGTCTGCCCTGCGATGGACTGGCGACCTGTCCAGAGTGTTTCCTGCCTTCCGCCTTATGACTGCTGGGATAGGCTCCAGCTCCCCCCAGCGACCCAGAAGGATAAGCGGCTTAGAAAATGTGTGTGTGTGTGTGTGTTTGTGTTTTATTTGATTATTTTACTAAAACATCTAACAGGTCGATTTCCATTCTGCCAGTTAATTGGCCATTAGGTCTGGAGAAAGGGGTTAATATTCTGCTGTGAAATCATTTTTGCTTGCTACAACATGAGAAAACGAGCAGGTTACAGACTAAGCCTAGAGCAATTACCCCAAATTACACTGCCAAGTGAGCTTTCTCATACAAAATATCCTAAATTGGCCCTGTGACTCTGTACAACAACTGCAGTCTATGATGATCCATCAGCATTATCCCCAACACTTCAGCTTACCATCTCCACACTATAATCCCAGATTTACCTGTTCCTGTAGCTTCCTCACACTCTTCCTGTAATCTCTCTCCCTCTCCTCCACCCGTCTCTTCAAATCCTCCTCTCTCTTCACAAACTCTGCCTCCCTACAAAGAGAACATTGTTAAATACAGCACTTTCAAATCCACCACTCAATTCCATGAATTATTCAAACCTTGCACTCTGTTTTAGATTTACATTACCCACAGGCCTCTTTGGATCAAAGAGCGTATGAGGTAAAACAAGACCAAACATAGTTTAATAGTAAGTGTAGAGATGGGGGTGAGGGAAGAGCTTCAAATAACAGTAATAAGAACTGTTGAAAGTTTGTAGACCACTGTGATTTTTCATAGTTCTGCTATACAAATTTCAAAAATATTATTCATCACATCAGGATTTTACAATCGATGAAGGGATAAAGCCCCTGTTTTTCACTAAAGATTACAACAATGAATGTAAATAAACCACCCTGTTTGCATTACACCACGACCATGCATTTTCAAGTGTGCAGCAACTAGCGATTAGTTCTATAATTGGAAATGTGATTTTTTTGATTAATAGACTATCTTATTAGCAGGATGACGTGTTGTAACACAGGTGCTTTGGTTTTAGTGCAGGACAGTAGAGTGATATTTACTGTATTTATAACTGGTCTTGGCTGGATTGTGACAATATTCTTTGCCACTTTTGTCACTCCTATCTGATTTGTTCATATGTTGCTGATGAGCTGAGGTAAAAAACATCATCTCTGCTTCACAGTTCTGAATCTGAACAAGAATCAATTTCTTCTTTCATGGTGCGGTAAAACAACAGACGCCATGTCATCCCCTGCAATTCCTGCAGTGCACGGCACGAAATTCAGATTCCAAGACCAGAATAGATCTGATCACTGATAGAGCAGTGAGTGTGATGTGTGACAGAGGCGAGCTGGCTTGTGCCGAAGGAACAGCGTCTAAACTCTTCTTATGTCTAAATTACTCACAGAAATTCTACGTCCTTAAAGAAAAAAGTCAAACTGCAATACTAGTCTGTGTTGCTTTATTGAAACATGATGTTCAACAAATGGTAATTAAAGATCTATAAGTAAAACTAGAAAGAGCTCCCCCTTCTGGAAGTCTGCAGACATAAGTAAACGTAGCATTCTGCAAGCCCTAATAATCAAATGCAGATCTTTTTGGACTTTCTTATAGTCTTGACAGTACAAACAGTATTTAGTGCTGGTTTAAAGAGCTATTAACACTATTATTGACTCTTAGACATTTGTATTAAGAAATCTATGCAATTTTTTGGCCCTGTGCGAACTGTAAAGAATTCAGTCGAACTTCCAGTCAATCACATTTGCAGTACTACTATAAGTGTAAAGAGAACGTAAAACATGTACAGTGTACTCAGTCACATTATAACAATGTGTATCGTGAAAATTATTTTAATGACTGTGATACTGTATTTTTGCTTCTAAAGGGTCTATCACTCAGAATGAAAAAAAATCCAAGAAAAAGACTTGATATAAACATTAACAAAGACATTATTTCATAATTAACAGCAAAATCAATCAGCTAGATTGAGTCATGCCCACTTCCACAGTGCCACTGCACTCTATGTAACAGCATGAAGCCCTCAGTGGTCCTACCTCTGCTTGTGTTCTTGCAGTTGTGCATTGGTCTTGTCGTATTTGAGCTGCAGGGCCTCGTGCTGGCTCTGAGCTTCATTGAGCCGTTGGTTGATGGCCTTGCAGAGCGCCTGAGCGTCCAGCCAGTACTTCTCTAGCTTTTCCACTCTTTCTCTGCTTTCGTCCACACTCTTCTCCAGAGCGGCTCCTCGAGCCTCCCAGGCCAAACGGTCCGCCTCACACACTCGCAGCTTAGAAAACGCACAGACAGATGCATCGTCTTGATCTTGCACACACTAACAGAGATCATGACCGTGAACATCGGGAGGTTTTGGAGCTTACCTTTTCCTTCATCAGCTTCAGCTCAGATATAGTCGCATTGTGCTTCATTTGTAGCTGTAAGACAGAATCCTCAAGGTTAAAACTATACATTTGTTCATTGTTACAGATAACAGTGGGGTTGGCCCAGACAGCATGATACAAGCTTCGATCAGCCCTTGGTGTTTCAGAACGAGTACCTGAATACTCGTTAATACCACTCTGAAAACAACAGCATTTTATAATTAAGTATAACTGGTTTATTAAACATAGTATGTTCGTTTGTTCAGGTTATTTTTTTATTTTAAAGTACTTCAAGTTTTAATTTGTGTCAAAGTTTTATAAATTTGCACATCCCCTTCTAATGACAGAAAAGTTGTGACACTGCAAAAACGGAGGGAGAAGGGAGAGCTGCGTTCAGCCTTTTGCTAACATTACATGTGTAGACCTTTTTTATAGCCTCTTATAGCCTTTTTTACAAAAAAATGAGCCTCCAACTCTGAATACTGAGTGTTCTAGAAATCTTGAGGGATCTAAACTGTTTACAAATGAAGCTTCCGAATACTAAACAAGGAAACGAACACCAACACCAACATGACGATTGAACACTCAAGTATTTAAATTAGCTGTAGACAACATGATGCCATACAGTATAGGAAACCACACAAGCAGGTCTATTTGAGATAACTGAACAACTCTGTGTGGTTGTGGTTACTTCATATGAATTGGTAAAGCTGGGTTGGTAGAGGGCATCATCTTTGATAAACACCCCTCAAACAGTTGCCAAAATGACTTTGTTGGAGAGATTTCGTAGACAAACTGCTTTTGGTTACCTAAAAAACTTTTAATGAGTGGGCAATGTTTAAAGAACCATTTTTTGTAAATTACATGTGAGTATTTTTAAGTTTTACAAAGTTTTAAATAAATAAATTAATTAAAAACCAACCCAAAACACGAAGCTAACTGCTCCGCTGTACGGCTATAGGAAAACTGCTAGAGAACCTTTTACATTTGTGGTTGTCACACTTGTCCTCGGGGAACCCAGACGGCCTACATTTTTGATCTAACCCAATTATCAATACAAAGGGATAGAGCAAAAATGTGGACCATGTGGAAGTCCCTGAGGGCTGCTTTGAGAATCACTGACGTAAAAGGATCTACACCAGTACAGCTGAGCAGTCAGGTGTATTTTTAAAATAAATTCATCGTAAGGAGGTACATGCATCGTAAGGCAAAACTGTAGGAAAATAAAACGTTGTTTTTTGGATTTTTCGTTATTTTTTCATTCATATAGAAACTAAGAACACAGCTGTAGGCCATAACCATTTCTGAGCCATACCTCTTTAAATCTTTGGTCCAGCTCGGTATGATTTATGTCCTCCGGAAGGACGATGCCTTGATTTTTCAGGTGCTCAAACACCTCCTGGGTCAGATCAAATGTCATATCCTCTTCTTTTTCCTGCTCCTTCTCTTCTGCCCGTGTTGTAATATCCTGTATTACGGCACCAGGGAGGCAACAGAGGACAAATCAGACACTCATTTACAGATCGAACCTGACTGACTAATCCATCATTGAACACATTCACTATGAAAATCCATAATTCATTGTACTACCTCTCACCTCTAACTCTACTTCTCTTTCTCTGTTCTTTTCGTTGACGTCCCCTTCTGAACTTTACACATGCAGCACAAGTGCTCACTTGCTGATGGAAGTGTGGGGCGCAGGATGTTTAAAAATGGAACGGCCTCACCCCATTCAACACCCGCAAATATGGGCTGGTATTCACAAAGCAGTCCTGAATAGGGCTGGTATTGAAATTCAATACTTTAACGGCTTCGACCGTATTACTTCAGCACTACGAGAATTCTGAATTTCAATACCTCAGTAGTCAGTTTTATCAGCATTCGTGAGCCAATAAGGACGCTTTTCCACCTCTAGACTGCTGACTGGCTGTCTAAATTACATTGTGTAATGAAGTTGTTAAGGTGGTTTCCACTTTTACCTTCCTTTTTCTTAATTTCTGTATAATTAAATGATAAATTAATTAAATGGTTCAGACTCCCCTCTAAAATCTACATCAAATCCATTCAACTTCAAACTGATTTCTTCAGATTTACCATTATTTTAACATTGGTAATATAAACGCTACACATAAAAACACAGGTGTTTAGACAAGAAGTAAAATGGCTATATTTGCATTGCATTGCGACCTCTTGTTCCCATCACCTCCACTGTAAAGAAATCTGAATCAGAACGTTTCTCTACAACTGGGCCCCTCCAATAAACATTAACCATCCACCATCTACCCATCCACCCAATAAACATATTAACAATCCATTTTTTCAATTATCTGTTATTTTGTTTACAACCTTTTACTTTAAAAAGCCATTAAAATGCTTAATTTATATTCTAGTGACTCCTTTTAAACATAGGGCATCAAATAATGCCATACTTCTAAGATTTTTAACACAAGTGTAAAAAATTTGACATTCATTTTTACAATAAAATGTTTTTCATTGCAAGGGCTCAATTAATCATTTCACATCAAACCACTCTGAATTACTCAAAGATTGAATTATGCATCCCTTTTGGAAAATTAATGAAATTCTCTTTCACCACCAGGTTTTCCTCATTAGTCTGCAGTCTGCTGTGGTCAGTAGATACACCCACTTCCATCACCTCACAATTTCTGTTTTTAGCCACACCCACTTTTGGTTTGTAATTTAAAAGTAGGTATAAAAAGCACCACTCAGAAACAAGCATTATAGTCAAGGTATCAGAATCAGTATTGGTATAGAAACATTTTGAACAATAGCCTAATCCTAAGAAACCACACGATCACAGCAGTGGGCGTCCAGTCATTTCCTATGGGAGTACCAGATTTGTAGCCATGACTTAGCAACAAGTGGCAAGTGACACAACGACAGAGTGCCAAGCGACAAGTCGAGCTGAAATTTTCTCAACTCCATGCAAATAAACTATGATGCGGTAAAGCGACTAAATGACTGGCTCAAACAAAATCAGACTGATCCCCAGACTGTGCTCTCCAAACTTGCTCCTATTGACATTTCATTCCTATAACCAATAGTATCCCACAAAAGCCTTAATGAGATGTACCAGCAGGCGTACCACTTTGTTTCCTGTGTGTGTTTTTCTTGTAGCATCTTCTTGAAAATCCCCTGCCTGTATACATCACACAGAGCAACAGCAAGTGATTGGTTACTCTGCATGCGGCAACAAAGGATCTAATCAACTGCACCATCACAGCAGAGACGAAAGCAGCAGTTTCTTTTTCATCATCTCACATTCCTTTATAAGTTGTATTAGCAATCCATGCATTCCAAACGCTTGCCACAGTCCTTACATGTACACAAACAAAGTCTCGTGGGACATTTTTGTCCGTCAACCTACGCAGCAAGAGAATGACGTAGTAAATGTGTGCGGTACTCTTCCACCAGTCACGGAATCAGATTATAAGTGGTCACTAGAGACACATTCCAGACATATTAAAATGCCAGGTGTAAACTGTTATACATATCATTGTCCACTTGTGGTCAGATCACGTGGGACAGATGTTAATAAAAAGTATAAACAGGCCTTGAATACTTTCTCTATTCCACCTTTTCCTCTCACCTCTTTCACAGTGCTCTTGTTCTTTTCTCCAGACAGTAGCTGTTGATTCTCCTCCTGCTCTAACTGTTCTCCATGCGTGTGCTGTTGTCTCTGCTCTTCAGCCTGAGCTTCCTGAGGCTGGAGGGTCTTCTCTTCATGCTCTTCTTCCTCATTCTGAGGTATATCGTCTTCTTGGCGGGCCTGTTTCTGAGGGCTCTTCTCTTGCTCCAGAGTTTCACTGATCAGTCGAGCCACTTCACTCTCCACCCCTGGCTTCTCCCGGCCAATCAGAAACCTGAGTTTAGACACAAAGGGCAGTTAGGGTCATTAAGAAACTTTTAGACCCTCATATAGACTCTTATTCTGCATTTTCCTTGTGTGTGGCTTTATGTACAAGTAATTGTCTGAATTACATTTTTACATGACCATTTCACACTAAACTGCTTTAGACTGTACACCAATATGTATGTGGTTGTGACATCACAACAACCATTAGCTGACATAACAGAACTGGTGGTGGGACACTTTCCTCCAAGCAACAGTTCAAGAAGATGTGAAGATGCTTGTGCCATCCTTCGCCCTCCTAGACCCGGTGATATTGTGTGACTGGTGGAGTCCTAACTAGTGGGTGGAACTGGATTTGACTAAGTTGAGGAGAAAATTGGGGAAAAAAAAACTGCCTCTAAGCCCAAGTTATTCATATTTCGGCATCAGGAAAAAAAAACAGAAAAGATGTATTTAACAAAAAAAAAAATATAGAAGCCGCAACGGCTAAATAGAACATCAATATTTTTAATATTTAGTGTTTTTATCACAGCTTCCATTCATTTCAGGAGACTTTTTCATTTTTTCAAAGAAATATGCAGGGATACTTTTTCACACCTCCAAAGTTCAGTCTTAGAAGCTGGTTGCACTTTTTCCAAATAATCCCAAACACATTCAGTGATGTTGAGGCCTGGACTCTGGGGCGGTCAGTCCATTGTTCTGAGACCACCAGCAGCTTCTTTGGTAAATGTTCTTTTTTGTCTATTTCTGTTTCTCAGTTACAGCTTCCTGACAGCTACACATCCTTTTAGACTCATGAAGTGAACCTTTTTAATGAAGTGAACCTTTAACCCATCCGTGCACCTATCCACCTAACCTATCCACGGCGCCCGGGGAGCGGTTGGGTGCCTTGCTCAAGGGCACTTCAGTCATATACTGACAGCCGAAGGGATCGAACTGGCGACCTTCCGGTCACAAGGCTGGTTCCCTAACCTCCAGCCCACGACTGCCCCCATAGTGTCATAGTGTTGAGTGTCTTATCACAGTGGAAGGTTGGACAGAAACTCTTGTGGATGTTTTCAGATCTGAATCAAGAGTGGAGCTTGATTTTCTCTTCTCTCTCAAAGATGAAAGCTTTAAGTACTTTTTATCTAATAAGGACAGTTTTGATGGTCTACCAGGTCTTGAACAGTTGTTAGAAGTCTCTATAATTTTTAAGTCATTCTTTGACTTCCAGTTTTGTAAACTCATTTTTCCCCCCATTTACTTTCCTCTGATGTTCCCTTTCCTTATCTAAGTGGATTATCTTGCATCTAATCTCCTCAAAAATATCTACTGAAAAATGAGTGACCTGTGCTTAATGAATGTTTTGACTGGAAATTTAAAAACAGAGGGGTCTCTGACTTTTGCACAGTATTTTATATCTCAGTTTTTGGGCACATTATTTTCTACTAAGTCACTTTAGGTTTATTATGCTATAAAATATACACAGGCTGAGGGGAACTGACTCAGACAGTTGTTATATAATGAGCTGAAAGGAAACTCTGCCCTTTAACTGAAAATCAGACACTGATCTAGTGAATCATTAACTGATCCTCAAGTACCAGAGCGCAATATCTTTGTGCAAATACAAACACACCCTATGATCTATGACCACTGAGACCGGACACTAGAGTTAGTGGGGTTATGCTAGAAAGGTCTTCTGTATTTCACTGTCTGAAATGCTTCAGTTCATAACAATAAAGAAACCTCACCCAGAATTCCATGTGGTTAAATAATTGACAGAATAGACATGTTTGAACTGAGCTGATTATGTGTATGTGTGTGTGTGTGTGTGTGTGTGTGTATGTGTGTGTTTGCCTACTTCACAAGTCCTCTGGTATTCTTCAGTACAGTAGCAGCAAACACCTGAGTGACTCCAACCAGACTGACTCCATCCACCTCCACTATCTGATCGTTTACCTTAATGCTGGAAAACAACAACAGTATACAAAAGCAGTATTAACCTTACATTACTTATGTTACATTATCACATAACATGTCTTCTAGGTCTTTTGTCCCATGTTAACCGGAATTAGGCCCTAGACTGTGCAGACAGCTGGCTTTACATGTTCAGTGAATACTGAATAATGTAAGCAGTTTAGAATTAAAAGAAAAGCTCACCTAAAAGCATTTAATTAAATCTGGTAAGGCCTTTGCATGCATGCCTTTGATTTGATTTGATCAAATCCCACAGTCTCTAAAGTAAAATAAACAAACCTTGTCCAAACAGGCATTTTTAGGCTTAGTTTCAGTACTACTGAGTGAAGTACTCCTTTAAGGAATACACTGGTGTTACGCTCGTACCGGCCATCGCGCTGGGCTGCTCCATTCTCCGTGATGGTTTTGACAAAGATGCCAAGTTTCTCCAAGCCTTGGTCAGCCCCAACGCCCATTCCTATAATGCTGATCCCCAGCCCCTCTTCTCCTATACAAACATGCAAACAAATACATACAGGATGTTTACAGTAAAACCAATACAGTTCAGCACACAGATATGTTCTAGAGGCCCAAACAAAACAAATACATACAGAAAAGCCAGGAGTTCAGTAAACAAATCAATTCTAAAAATATTAAAGACAACAAATACAACAGAAAGGAAGTATACTGCACACAACAAACCAACGCACAGTGGAAAACTCACAGGATACTCATCTGTCTTTTCACTCATCCAGCCATCCATTCTTCCACCTTTTCATCCATGAATTCATTAATTCATTCATTCATTAATCTGCTTATCCATCTATTCATCCATCCACCCATCCATATATCCATCAATCTATAATTTCATCCAGCCACTCAGTAATTCATTCATCCTTCAATCTGCTTATCCATCTTTTTATCCTTCCACTCATCAATTCACTCACACACTCCTCCATCCATTCATTAATTCATTAGTCCACTCATTTACCCATCCATTCGATTATACATTCATCCATCTATTAATTAATCCAGCCTTGAAGACACTCAAGCAGTGCATGTACACATTCGCTACACACCAACCATGTCACACATTAATACATCACCTTAACTGGCCTCAAATCATTTAGACATTACCTTTCTGGATTTCCACAGGGAAGACGTTCATCTTCTCTACCCTCTTCTCCAGCTCATACTCAGCCGAGGCAGACACAGGGTCCACCTCTTCATTCCTGCGATCATACTCATCGTTGGAGTACGTACAGAACACCTGCAGACAGAGAACACACACACAGTTTCATCTGACTCATATTCCCACCACACATCACGAATATAATGACAGTTAAATGTGACACACCTTAGTAAGTAGAAGATTACAAACAATAACACAGGCTATTCTATCACATATTTCAGAATGCAATGAACTATTGGTGGTTCTAAAAGCAACAACAAATCGATTCCTTTGTATTCATCTTTGCAACAGTGCATTGGCTGCATTTTAGAATTACTATAATAATACTGGACTGGGATGCGTGATGTGGGGTTGCTGAGGGGGCAACAGCACCCCCAGATTTAGAGAATGTTAACTGCATCTGCTAAAAAAACTCTGCTAGGGCAGAGTTTGTTTTTTTTATTTTATTTATATAATTTCAAAACCTGCACTAGTCATGCCCTGTAAGTTAATGCTGTATTTCCATTACAGTGAGCTAAACTCTTTCCTCACCGACTACTGGCTGCTTTGGGGTGTGTGCTGACACAAACAAACAATACAAACAAGTGAAAGTGTTTGCACAATTGTAGGCCATTTATTTGGCCCAAAAACATAAACAACTGACATAATAATGGTCCATGTTTTTCAACACATTTTTTCCCAACCATTATACACTATACAGCCAAATATGGACATAATGTGTGACCATCAGCGCTATATGAGGTTGTTGGACATCCAATTCCAAAACCATGAGCATTTATATAGAGTTGACCCCCACTTTGCAGCTATACCAGCCCCCACTCTTCTGGGAAGGCTTTTCTATGACAGTGCCATGTTCAAGTCACTGAGCTCATCAGTGAGACCCATTCTACTGCCAGTACTTGTCTATGGAGGTTGCATGGCTATGTGCCTGATTTTATACACCTGTTAGCAGTAGATGTGGGTTAAAAACCTGAACTCAGTAATGACAAAGGGTGTCCACATACACTATATGGCTAAAAGTATGTGACTGGTTTTAAATTAAAACAACTTTAGCGGCAGCAGTGAGTCATGTTTGTTTATTTGAGCTCACACTTTAGTATGTCCTGCGTATTACATGTACAGCGTGCAAAGGTTTTAGGCGCCTGAGAAAATTACATTTAAAAGGCTATTTAAATGGACTGGAAGTGTTTATTTGCTCAGAAAAAACACTAATATTAGAATAAATACCAAATATTAATACACGAACTAGGGACTTTATGTCTGTCAGCACGTTTGCTTAATAATTTCCAAATTTCTCCTTGAGAAAGCTCAGCATCATTTGTGGTTGACATTCAACACCTGGTTTGTTTAATCAGCACTTAATTAAGTTAATGAGTTGGTGTTGAAATTGAACAAATCTGTGATGTCTGGAGGCATAAAAGAGAAATCTGGAACCAAACTTTGCTCTTCAAACCAGCTCACAAGATATCAGCACTTCTCTAAAAAAAATCCTGTATTTATATTCTTTTACACACATTCTAATGATACATGGTGGTTTAACAAGCACTCGTGGCCAAGATAAATGGTTTTAAGTAATGCGCTTAGGTGCCTTAGACTTCTGCACAGTACTGTATACGCTGCTTAAAATGTCAGCAACTCAAACACCTTCCTGCGTCCCTGTCATTAAGTGAATAGTTTGAATACACACAAAAATGTAGCTATGCCCAAGTATGCACTGGCTGGAGTATGCTCAGCAGACAAAAGCAGGTCAGACTGTGTTCCTCACGCAGGCGGCAGACTTGGCCTGCAGCACACATTAGCAGAATTAAACAAAAGAAACACACTGGCTGGAAATCAGTCAGTCTGACAACAACACCCCACTCTAAAGTGGCACAACCAGGCCACCGTAATCTCTCTCACTCTCTCTCTCTCCTGTTGTCATGGAGTAACTGCACACCTCTGAACAATGTTCTTTTTACCAGTCAAACTTAAAGGGGCATTTCACAGATTTCTCAAAATGAAAGCATAATTCAATAGTTAGGAGGGAAACCAATTCATTCAGAGTGGTTTGACCAGAAGTGCTCCATTCTAGAAAAACGTAAGAGTCAGACTTGTTCACAGTCTGATAGGAACCAGACGTCCAAATAGTTTAACGTCTCTAAAAGCTCCCTCACAGAAAGTTGTAAATATGCCCCCTGATGCCGGAGACATTGTTTTAAGACCATTTGGCCTAAAATCCATTCATGGTAGAGGGGTACATGCAGGACGTTATTAGGCAAAACAGTCCCCAAGACAACATATTTTTCTTGGATGTACCTCTATTGTACTGTTGTTACATCACAAATAAAACACAGGACACATGTACATTCACTGATTGCTCTGGTTAGCAGTTAAAATTATTAGACTTGTGTTCGTTGCATCCCCTCGCTCTTATTACCACCCTTGCGAAATAATCTGAGGTTAGGGTTGGGTGATATGTCAAAAAATATTATATCACAACACTTCAAGACATTTGAACAATACATGATATGCATCATGATATCTAGTTTTGTTTTTTTTAATTAAAATAATGTAATAAGTTAGAATAATTGGTATAAAATTGAACCTGTTGTGCAATATAAAATATAATAATAATAATAATAATAATAATAATAATAAACAACCTAAACTTGCAGTGATTTTATTCAATGTTTTACAAACTGCATTACACTAAATTCAATTAAACTAATACTGCTATAATGAAACGCAATCAGACCGTATTCTTTAAGTACTGATAATGTCAACGATATGCTCAGAAAAGTGTATTGCAACATTATTTACCACAATAACTATAAAATATGGTCATATCACCCACCTCTATCTGAGGTTACATCTAAACCACTGAAATACACAGAATTTGCAAAAATCTCCTGAAGTGGAGTCTCGTACTTCATCTCTCTGTCTCTCTCGCTGTGAATCTAAACAGGAGAGTTTATTTTTAGCCATTAGCAAGTCAGAAATTTTGAACACTGTGTGCTCTGAGTGACAGGGAGAGAGTGGAAAAACTACAGGAATTAGCACGCTAATCATGCTAATCAGGTCACACACCAGACTCCACATTACAATTCCAGGGTTTTGGAAGGAGCTTCCAGGGCTCCACATTCTAATACGGCTTGGTAAGAAGCAAAGCAAAACTTGAGGTGGAACTAGTCAAGAGTGAAATCCCCTCTTACACGCACAGAAAGCGGCCTGTTTCAGCCTCTCCTGCTGGCGCCAAACATCTCAACTTCTCACTACAGCAACTGAGAGACACTCTGAGTGTGTGTGGATGTGAGTGTTTAGCTATTTTAAGGGGTATTTCTACCAATTTTTCTAAAATATCTGCAGAATTCGATCACTGAAATATACAAAGAGTCATTCAGAGTGGTTTGACGATCACTGTAGAGAAACTTACTGACTCAGATATCTTTACAGTGGTGCTGATAGGAACCAGGGGTCACCAGGTCTACAACACAAATACAGACATTTTGTTTACTATGTAAAATGACCAGTGAACTTAAATGTGTCTTCAAAATGTTTATATGTAATGTTGATAATAGCAAAATAGTGGTAAAACTGGGAAAATGTATGGGGGAAAAAAATGTGGACATTTAAGTTTATTGCAAAATGATCATAAAACAATGTCTCAGGCAGAATATTCATAATTTCATGTAACAGCCTTCAGAGACATTAAACCCCTCAGACGTCTGGTTCCTATCACCACCACTGGGAACAATTCTGACTTCGTAGTTTCCCTAGAATGAAGCATTTCAATCAAACCACTTGAAATGACTTCACATCAGGGGTGCCTAATCCTGGTCCTGGAGATCTACCACCCTGGAGAGTTCAGATCCAACAGCTGGCTATAATATTCAAATGCCCCGAAGGCCTTCATTACCTGGACCAGGTGTTCTTTGGGTTGGAGCTAAACCCTGCAAGCTGGTAGATCTCCAGCACCCATTTATTTGTGCAGAGATGTAGAACATTAGGAGGAATCCTCCTTCAACAGCCTTTTGTAAGTGTCTAAATAAATGAAATAAAAAAAAAAATGCAGTTGGTAATATTTTATATAACTGGACTTTGAGAGTAAATAGCGGTCACAGTGAGGCTAATAGAAATGAGATGTTGTGTATATAAACAGTAGTCATGAGAGCACTGGGTGAACAGGTTTCCTACTAAGGATTTTCATCTTAAGATAGCCATAAGCCCGGTCATTCATGAGAACTGGTTCAACAAACGAAATCTTAGCCATGCTCTAGATTGCCATATGCCAATACCCAACAGCTAATGTAGGATCCAGATCTGGAGAGGAAGGGGAAGAGCAAAGCCCGAAGAACGTAATGAAGAGGAAGAGCCTAAATAGGGCACGCCTACTGCATCAAAACAAGCAAGGAGATTTCTGCTTCATCACTTAGCAAAAGAACCAAGAAAACAACACAGGAAACCACGTGTCAGGCGTAAGACAGTATAGTCCTAACCATACCGTGTATCTGTGAGGGAGAGCTCTGTGAACGTCTGGTTCCAACCACCACCTCTGTGAACAAATCTGATTCAATAAGCTGCATAAAAGCTCTTACAGTAGGTTATTACATGAAATGGTTCTAAATACACCTTATGCATGTGAAACTGTTTTAAGGAATTGGCTTAAAATCTCATTTTTAAAACATATTAATGACTGAGAGGGTCAAAAGAAAACTTTTTACCATCTTCCACCTTGCATATAAAAATTCAGAAGATACTTGTAGGTTCACCGGTGGTTTTGGATAGTGAATAAAATGACTACATTTGTGTTATCAACACTGCGATCCCTGGTTCCCATCACCAACAATGTAAAGAAACCAGAGTCACGCTTCTCTACAATGAACTGTTTCACATCAAACCACCTGGAATGACTTTGCTCACACCTCAGTGATTGAATTATGAAGAAATTTAGAAAACAAAACAAAACAACAACACACGAATTGGCCTTTAACAATAGTAAATGGGCTTTGACACACACACCTGTCATCAGACTTGAGCAACACTGCCGTCTGGAATTCAAAGCTAGACTTGGACAAGAAAAATGCCAGACTTTGTTCCGCACAGCTGACACACTTAACATACTCACATGCCTACTGTAGTGGATTTGCATTGCCAATTCCACTCTAAATCACTCCCTCAGGACACAGACAGACTAACATTCAGGCCCTGTGTCACTAGCCACACACACAGACATGGACAGAGGGGCTTTTCTTTGCTAAACAGGATCTGCCCCTTTCAAGTATTCCACTTTCTAGGAGTCCAGGATTCGGTCATGTGGCCTTGGGCACAATGCACTTCCTGTGTGATGCCAACCAATCACTGTTTCAGGAAATGTTCTGAGATTAACCCTGTGCACTAGTAGTTGAATGAAGCTTCCTTTCCCATCTTCTTCCCTTGATTGTGTCTGATCTGTAGCCACTGGACTCACTAAACACACTGGCAGAGCAGACTGGCTTGTGGATCCCCATGGCTGCCAGATCAGGTGAAATCAAGCAAAGGAAGCTTCATTCAACTATTCGGAAGCAGCCCTAGACGAGCTATGAATTAGCTCAGACATCCATACAAATGTACTCAGGGCTAAACAACATTATGAAAGGCTAGTGCTGTCAGCATGTAAGCCAAAACCAGAACTGTTCCACTAGCTTTCCATCGAACTGCTAACTAATTTACAAAACAAATACTGTGCACTGAAGGACATATAATGATGTGCTTACACAACTGTAAAAATTCTTGAAGAGCCACAACCATCATTAGCAGGATAACATCTCCCATAATGAGTAAGTGGCCTCTGATATGAGGGCCTTGATACACGTGGCATTTCTGCAGGGCTACTAAGAGTGAGGTGGGATACGGCGAAAATATATGACAATATCTCAAGACATTTTTGCAATACACTTCACAATACTTATTTTTTTAGGTTTGTTTACAGACAACACACTTAGAAAAGCATACTGTGACGCAAATCTATCACGATAACAAGAAATATCGCCATATTACCCGCCCCCAAGTAAGGTAACACAAAACTAAGATTTTCGACACCTTATAAATGTATGTTGTTGATATAAGATCAGTTTTGCCATCAGTGCTACAAAGATAAACAGATTATTGGACCATAGACTGGTACTGGTATTGCCAAAGCATTTCAGAGAAGAAGTGGGTGGGATTGTGTTTTCTGAATAATATAACCATAAATTGCAGTGTTTCTGCTATATATATTTTGCCCACCACAGGGGCGGGGGGCCTTGCCTGCCACCGCAGCTGAAAAAACAATCCTAGGGGAAACACTGAACTAACATTAAAAATGACATTAAAAGGGAGGAAACTAGATCAGCATGTCTGCTCTGAAACCCTATAAAACCACTGGTGAACTTGGTCTACTGCTAACTTGATCGTTCAATGGCATCATACAAATTAATAGTCTCACAAGGCCAGAACTGACCTATTAAAGAGAACCTCTGCAGACAACCATGAGAAATTTTCAGCTAAATGTGAGTGGGAATGTAGATTTATTAGAGTGGGAACAAACTGAGTGTGAAATTTCTAAATTAATCCAACACTTTGTGGCAGAGCTCAAAGTAGATGGTGCCAAATAGGCATTTAGATATGTAACGTATGTATGAAGAACACATCACATGCAGTAAAATTAAACATTATCTCTCACAATGAAAAAACAGTTCCATTAGCTAACAACAGCATTTCACTAGCTAGCTTTTTTGTTTTATTACAATTACTCTGGAAGATAAAGAAGCACAGGGTAGAATTTGGTGGTGTTTTTTGAGAGGGAGGAAACCTCATTAGTGACATAATCCAGCACCAAAAGTTTAAAAAGTATAAGCTGTCCCTAGACATGTATTCTTGTTACAAAATCATGACCGGCCCTGCGAGACTAACAAACGAACAGAACTTTGATGGAACATTAGAAGTGGTCAATATGACTATAATTGGATTAATGTCACAATATGTTTTTCTCAGCACACCATAGAAATCATGAATATTTTTTTTTCTGTTCCAACATATCAAACTTCAAAAAACTGAAACATTCCACTGCATATTTTGTCTTTAAATAATGTGATACTGTATTTTTGCCATATCGTCTACCCTTACGGGAAATTTTCCAAATTTTCCAATTTACAAATGTACATATTAGTCACCCAACTGGAGGTCAAGCTAAAGATCTCAGCACATGGAAATAAACCATTGCCCAAGGCTCTTTCCCTCCCTCCCTCTGTCCTTTTTTTCCACATGATGGCTGTCAGAGTCAGAAAAAGGAAATTACATGCCTGAATTGATGCAAGCTCAGACAAGACTTTAGCTGCTTGCTTGGCTGCACTCTTCAATGATCTAGAATCAGCTCTTCGTACCCACCCCATACCTATGACTGTAATAGGAAGAACAGCAAAACTAGTCTCAAGACAGTGAAAAAGGGAGCATGCGGAACCGTCACCTATATGAACCCTTTAGCTGCTGCAGTTGCGAAACAGCTAGCTACTCAAATGCAAAATACCTTCACAAGCATGTGAGATCTTGTAAGAGAACTCTTTCACTTATCCCAATACCAGCATAAACACACAAGCTTGAAGACAAGTTTCCAACAAATGAGGGATATTAGACTCGCCAGTTCAGACAAGCATGTCAGGCGAAGGTGCTGACAAAGGGATTTGGGTCAGTGCTAGTAGACTAACACCACTTGGGTTGAAACACATGATCTTGTTATCCCAGAAACAATAGGGTATGTTTAGACACGGATAACTTAAAATCCCAACCAGAAAAAGGAGCCTTAGGCAGAAAAGGAATACAGCAAATTCGCGCATGGATAACAGGCAGAAAATGTAAGTAACGTTTAGCATACCTTAATAGGAGCGGTGGAGAACCTGACCTTCCTCCTCGGGCTGGTGCCTTCCTCATCAGAGAGGCCTGGAAGCTCCTCATATTCCTGGGACGGCTCTTGCCCATGGTGCTCTCTCTTTTCCTGGTATTCCATATCCGGCTTACTCTCTCGGTCGTCCACGAAAGCGGCATTCTCGATCCCGCATATCAAAGATCTTTTCCCACCCTGATTCACTTGCTGTTGCCTCTCTTCATGTTCATCCTCCTCATCCTCTAAAGCTTCAACAGCCTCTTCCACAATATCATCTTCTTCCTCATCCTCCTCTTTTTCCCTCCGTTCATCCTCCATGGTGCTGTCCTCCACTTCCCTCACATTCTGTTCACACTCTTTCATCTCAGTCTGTAGATCTGGCTCTTGCTGCACTTGCTCTTGCTCATACCGGTCTTCTACTACTTGCCCCTTGTCGTCTTCCTCCTCCTCCTCTTCTTCTTCCTCCTCTTCTCCCTCCTTTTTCTGCATACCTTCCTCCTCAGCTAACTTTTCTTTGCTTCCTTGATCCTCGCCTCCTGCGTCCTGAGTGGGTTCCTCCCTCCTTTCCTCCTCCCCTTGACTAAGGCTCCTCCCTGATTCCTTCTCCTGGAACGTGTCTTGGACCTCTTTGCTACTAATCAGCTTCCCTTCTGAAAGGTGATTGCTGGTGACTTCCTCAAAAACATCATCCTCGATGCGATCCTCCTCGTTGGCTTCACTTTCTGAGGACTCGTTCTGGACCACCACCAGCTCAGCTCTAACCGTGGCCAGACCTGGAGCTCCGGGCTTATCTTGCTTCCCTCTGGAGGTCTCCGAACACTCCTCGGCTCCATCTCCAGCAGGACTGCCGGAAGCACTGCCCAAAGACAATCGATGGCTCTTTTCACTCTTAAACAGAACAGTTGGTTCTGTTGCAAGAATGGACACAGAGGATTCGTTAGCATGGTCAGCACTATGGGCACTCCAATCAGGGGACCCCTCCACGCAAACTCCGTTCACTGGAATGACTGGCTGTTGGGGCTCACTGTGTGACGTTAAGCTGCTTAACTGATGTGAACATGCAACTGCCTGGCCTGAAGGGCTTTCAGGCCACAGCGAGTAAGACGAAGGAGAACTGGCACTATCTGGGGATGAAGGTGGGTCTGAATGTTCACTTCTCGGGGAGGACGGCGGTTGGGAATGACTGCTTGGACTCTGTGAACGAGTTGAGACGGATGGACCAGACAGGGACTCGCTGTCGCTGTCCAACATGAAGCTCTCCAGCCTCCGGGATATGGGTCCTGCATTCTTCACCATGACCCCAGGCTTGCGAAGTGGAGTCTCACTCTCGCTCCTCCATCTCTCCGGCTGTCCTTCTGTTAACGGAGCATGGTCTTTTTTCTCTGATAACTTCCTTACACATCTCCCCTCGTCCGAAACACTGCACACAGAAGATCGGCTGATGATCCTGACTTGTGCAGTTCTCTCTGTTGGAAACTGATCCTTAAGGCCACTTTCAAACAGCTTTCTGGTCACAGAGAACTTCTCAGCCAACGCCACTTTGTCAAACGAGATGTCCTCCACCTTTCGGGCCGTCTCCAAGGTGGCGGATTCCATGCTGGAGACGCTGCTCATACTAGATCTACCCGATGTGGAGCCTCGCTGGAATTTGGCTGGCCCGGGTTTGGTGACAACTGAGCCTTCTTGAGGCTGCTGGCCATCCATTTGAAGGAAAATGTTTTTTATTTTGTTCACCCGGCTCCCTGAGGGTCTGCCTCTCGTCTCACTGCTTCCATTGGAGTAAGGGACAGATGGGCCCTCAAAGGAGCATTTGATTGAGTGGAAGTCTGACTTATATGCATTTCTGTGAGGTGAGGCACTTCGTAGCACCCGCTCACTTTTGGGTTCACTCTTGATCATTTTTAGAGGTTGAATAAACTCATGAAAATTGTCCAAGAGTACAAAGAGATTAAAAAGAATGTTTTAGTTTAAAATGACCCCATGTGCCCGTTGCTGCCGTGTACTGTACAGTCCTGAATCACGCTGGTTTGTTTCCTAGCTGCAGGGAGCTCTTGAAGAATGCCACATTGCACTGTGCTGCATTTACCTAAAGACAGGGAAACAGTCGTCTGTTATTTGAGAGATAATATCAGCTCAGTCTAACCTAACCTGTTTAAAGGAGTCATCTCTCCTTTTATACCGTATTTCTTTCAGTTTCGAAATGCAACACTTACCAAAACGTCTCACAACAAGATTTACTCTCTGTCTAGTCTGGCAATGATGGGACTAACATCAATTTTTCTGCATTTATTTCTGGATAACTCAATTGTTGGGATGTGAACAAAGTAATCGAGAGTGGTTTGACATGAAATGGCACACTGTAGGGATACTTCTTTACAGTGGTGGTGATAGAAATCAAAGGTCTACAATGCAAATACAGACATTTTATGTATTATCCCAGTGTTTCTGGTCCTGAAGGCCCACTGTCCTGCACATTTTAGTGCTTTTCCTGCTTTAACACACCCTCTTTAACTCAATAATGGGCTGTTAATGAGCTGATTAGCTGGATCAGGTGTTTTGGGAGCAGAGAAAACACTAAAAGTGTAGGGCAGGGGGCCTCCAGGACCACCACCAGTGCACCTACACATGTATGTCTCATGCATCAGACAGATATTCATCAGCATTTCATGTAACAGCTTTCTGTGAGATAGCTTCCTCAGACAGTTCCTAACGCCACCACCACTGTGAACAACTCTGTTACAGAGTTAACATCTGAATGATTTAATCATGCAGAAATTTGGAAACTGGGTGGAACTCCCCTTCGAGCAGCCTATCAGTGTTACCAAGTGCAAACGAAGAAACAGATAAGCATTCAGACGTTCTGCAAGAAACTTCCCAGACTAATAGGACATCTCCAAACTATCTAGAACACGCTGACCAACTTGTGCCACCGTGAAGGCAGCAATGAAGCGTCTGGACTGAAACCACACTGACTTCGTGGTTAACTAGGACGCTGCTGCCACCGCGCCGTCCTTCAACGAGGCTCGACTACAAATGGGAGAACTTTCTCTGTATCGCTGACAGCGACCCGAGAGAGGCTTCAAACTCACACAGAACGACCGAGCACAACTCACCGTGACCGCACGCACAGCGCCATAGCAGGTCCACGTCCAGAACCAACAGATTACAAACTTGTCACACCCTTCCTTCCCCGCCTGCCTGCCTGCCCGCTCCGTGCGCGTCCGCTCAAACCAACCTTATCCTCAGCTGCGCGCTCACGAGCGCGCTTGCGCGTAGGGAGAGGGCGCTGAAGGCGCTGCGGGGAAAGCCGTGGGAAAAAAAGCCCAGTTTGGGCGCTGGAGTCCCACATATTTGAGAGACTGGGTCTCCAGTGAGAGGAAGAAGCCTGGCACTCTGTTCCCTGATGGAAACATCTTCTCCACGTTGAACAGTGCTGAGTTTGCTAGGAGTTAAAGGGGAATTCCACCAAATTTTCAAAATTTCTGAAAAAAATCTTCTTCCCGTCCTTGCTATCTAAACAGATTCATTCAGAATGATTTGGTATGGATGGTTCACTGTAAATAAATATACAGACTCATTTTTTCACAGTGGTGGTGATACGAACCAGCAGTTGCCAGGTCTACAACACAAAACTAGCCATTTCATTTACTATCCAAAAGCACCAGTGAACCTACACGTGTCTTCTGAGTGTTTACATGTAATGTTGATGACGGTAAAATAGTCATAAATCTGAAAAAAAGTTTTATTCGGGACTATTTTGCCTTACAACACCCTACATGTATTCCTCCGCCATGAATGGATTAAAGTACATTAAAAGACAAAACTTTATCATAAAACTATCATAAAACAGTGTCTCAGACATCAGGCACTGTATTTATAACCATTTCATGTAATAACTTTCTGTGAGGGAGCTTTCAGATGCAAATTTAAATTGTAATTGTAAGACGTCTGGTTCCTATCACCACCACTGTGTACGTTTCTCTAGAACAGAGCATTTCACACCAAACCACTTAGAACGGCTTTGTTTACATCTCAACCATTTAATTATGTCGAATTTTTGAAAAATCGGTGGAGTTCCCTTTAAAACGAAGTTACTTGCCACTGGAGCAGTTCAGGCACAGCTGTGTGGGGCTGAGTGATGTATCATCTATAAAGCTGTTCTAGTCATTTGTTCTACTCAGTGAATGGTCCTACTGCGCATGCATGTTAATTTAGCCTTACATGAAGTGTATAACACAGACTTAATAGTATCACTCAGGGCTGGGTGATATGGCAAAAATTCTACATCACAATACTTACAAGACAAGATATTTTCACAATACACAATATGTATCACGATACTTTGACACACAGACACTGCCATCAAATACTTTGGCTACACTGTTAGAAATTATTTCTGTGCAGGTACATTTTTCATTCATCAAGGTACAAACAATGTAAATGTCCCCTCAAAGGTACAACAGTGGTTTTAAGGTCCAATTTTGTACCTTAAATAAGTTTTTCCAGGTAAAACGTATTTGAACATTTTCATAACCTGATGTTTTAAAACAGAACAATAAAATAAAAGCCTGGAGTCGAGACGGGGTGTGTGGAGTCAGTACAACTTTCATCATTTCAATGGATTATAGTACAATTATGTTCCCTGACAAAAGGTACTGAGATGTACCCTTGAGGGTACCACCCCAGTGACAAGAGCGGTACTGCCCCAGTGACAGTTTTGTACCTTTATTTCTGAAAGTGTAGAATGACTTTTATTCAGTGCTAGCAGGACTAATTATGCTCTCTATGGAATGAAACATGCAGCATTTTCAGTATAAGTATGATATAAGTAAGTAAGTATGTTATCCACGATTTGCCCAGAAAGGCGTGTTGTTGATCACAATACCAATATTTATTGTGATAGTGATAAAATATCCTCATGTTGCCCACCTCTAGCATTACTTACCCTATAATAAGGTGATTTAGGCTATTAAAATACCCTAAATATCCTACTTATAGTTTTAAAGCAGGTAGCATATTCTGATATGGTGATTTAGACTATTAAAATATCCCACCTGTAGTTTTAACACTGGTAGTATTTTCTTATAAGGTGATTTAGGCTAAAAATCTAAATATTGTCACTGCCCAAAAGAAAAGATGTATCTCCATTTTTGTCCATTTGTACTCTTCTACACTTTTAGAACACAAAAGCTGTCTTTTCCATTATCTGGAAATTTCATGATGACCAATAGAAATGCTCCAAAATCACTTGGAATAAAATCTCTTCACACTGACTTTTATTAAAATTGAAGGCTGTTTCTCCTGTAAAGCTACTATTTTGAAGATATATATGCCATGATGTCCTACTTAAGTTTTAATGCTGGTAGTATTTTCTGATAAGATCATGTAGGTTATCAGAATATCCTTCTTATAGTTTTATATAAGGAGCTACCTATCAATACGGTGCAGTACAGTCAAACATTGCTTGTCAATTTCTTCATATTTTTAGCAATATATTTAATAGACAATTAAGCATTAATCAATGCTCAATCAATATTGACCTTTTTTTTTACCTTGTTAACTGAATTTGGTCATATTAAGCACAACTTATCATACCATTTAAAAGACTAAATTCTTATTTTCCTGTAATCAACCATCGAGATGTGATGAATTTTGCTGTTTATAAGGTTTCATTTGGGGCAATTTTAATAGAATAAAACAGATCAAAACAGTCTAATCAATACAAGCTATATCAGGTTACTAAGACTTTCTCTTAGCAATTTTATTAATGCTAACTTGAATATGATATATTCTGAAAATACTGTGATTTTGAATTTTATCGGTACTGTCCAAGGCGAGAACTGAGCAGTGTTCACACTTTCCCTTTATTACAGCTTCTACTCTTTTCAGAAGACTCGCTTTCAGTTTTTCAGAGAAATCTGCAGGGATATTTTTCCACATCTCCAAAGTTCAGTCTTAGAAGTTGGTCACATTTTCTGCTTCTCACAATCCAAACAATCCCAAACACATTCAGCGATGTTGAGGTCTGGACTCTGTGGTCAGTTCATTGTTCTGAGAACACCAGCAGCTTCTTTGTTTGATGTGTCTCCTTTTCTCAGTAAGAGCTTCTCAACAGCTACACATCCTTTCAGACTCATAGTGTTGAGTTGGCCTCTCACAGTGGAAGGATGGACAGAAACTCCTGTGGAGCTGATTTGTTTAAAGCCTTAACTACTGTTTTTGTTTAATACCCTCAGAAATATCTCCTGAAAAAAATGAATAACTTGTATTTAATGGCTGTTTGGACCAGATATTAAGTAAATGAAGGGCGTTCTCTGACTTTTGCACAGTATTTTGGTGCTTATGTCTTTTGTTCATGAATTAAAATGGTAATATTCACTGTCTACATAAAACACTTTGAATTACAAGTGTATATGAAACATGCTGTGTAAATAAACCTGTCTTATATGTTTACATTTAAATGTTTCATCTTTTAAGTGACATATTGTGAAATGTTGAAGTGAAGGCAACTCCAGTAGCATTCACACCATGGGTGCTATTCAGTGATTCAAACATTCTGATACAGCGTTTTGCCAGCAGCATTCACTGGAACCAATCTGTTTGCAAGTGAAGGATGTTTGCTTTGTTCTGTTTATAAAGCAACCTGTTTATTCTCTAAGTGAGCCTCGCCATGCTGCTATTTTTACACGTGTGAAGCCAGTTGACAGTCCAGTGGCAAGATGTGCTCATTCTGAGGACTGCAGTGTCTGAGGAGACTGTTTTGGTATCCTGTGGGTTACTTGGGTAACATTTAAAGCTGGTGTTTTATTTGGGAAACATTTAAAGCCTAAATTAACTGGCACTGTCAGGTGAAACTAGTCCAGAGTCTCAGCTTGCTATCACTCTAGTCCACTGCCACTCTTCCAAAGCAGAACTGACGCTCAGGAGCTTTTGTCTTTCCCTCACACACATTTAGGTCACCATCTGAGTGCCTCTGATGAGAAGAGAAAAGAGGGGAGGAGAGAAGTGGAGGGAAGAGGAGGACAGGAGAGGAGCAGAGTGAACAGAGTGAGAGTAAAGATAGAAGGAGAGGGTGGACATTTAGACAGAGAACACAGAACTAACCACAAACCATGGCTCATTCCTATTCCTTATTTTTTACAGAGCATGCAGATTAGAGGTGGTAGACCGGTATTGATGGTTATCTGATCCAATCCTGTAACAAATCTGTCTAATCAGTATTGGCAGCGGCCAATACTCAACCTTTTTCACCGGGATTGGAAAACAAAAAGTATCTAGTATAGTATCTTGCCATCTAGCGCAGACACATTACTCCTATTTATTTATGTAAATAATGTCTGTATGTGTGTGTGTTTGCCATTTTTTAGTTTTTGACATAATTTGGAAACACTGTTGGCCTGCACATTGTGTGTAAATGTCATGATGAATGGACAAAAAGGCCCAAAAACGGCCCAAAATGATTCGGAAAAATGTCTGTAAAGTTATCATTTTGGAGATATAAGGTTTTGTTCCGACAGCACCGATACATATATATATATACACATATATATATATATATATATATATATTATATATATATATATAATATATATATATATATATATATATATAGACAAAGATCCCCCAAGTAAACACAAATGCTTATTTTAAATGAAGAAGTGCTGTAGTGTGATGGTCTGGGGCTGCTTTGCTTCTGCAGGACCTTGACGACTTGTCATAACTGATAGAACCATGAATTCTCCTCTCTCTTTAAGAAAATCCTGAAGGAGAATGTCCACCTGTCAGTTTGTGACCTAAACCTACAGCAACAAAATTAAGGTTTTGGAGCAGCCGAGTCAAAGTCCTGACTTTGTCTCATTGACATGCTGTGGCATGTCGGGCAGTTCATGCTGAATTAAACAATTAAACAGCCGAATTAAAACAATTCTGAGAGGAAGAGTGGGCCAAAATTCCTCCACAGCGACTTGAGAAAGACTCATTGCAAGTTATATATATTCACATATATGGGGCAAATATGCATACATATGTGTGTGTGTGTACATAGAATACATACACATGTTTGCTGTATTGTTGCATAGAAATATAGTGAATTACTTATAGATCCTGCTAGTAGTCCTACGTCCCACTGTGGGTCATAATGTGCAGTAAACCTTGTGCATGTATATGTGCGGGTGAGAGAGGAAGACAGAGAGAGGGAGGGAGAGAGAGAGAGAGAGAGAGAGAGAGGATCCTCTAACAGATGGCATTTTACAGCCTCTACATATTGAGAG